GACGAGTAGAACATGAGAACGTAAGGCTCGAGCTTTCGGTCCTTCTCTACGGATTTTTGAAAGCCCTTCTCGGTGAATGCTGTGTATGCTTCGGCAAAGCTGCGCTTCAGAGCCGAGTCGTTGAAGCCTTGCATGGGTTCCTTTCCTGTCAGGACGTTCTTAAGTCTCTTCTCCAAGGGTTTCTGGAATCCATGGGGCAGCTTGATGCTGTTGGAACCTGACGAGACGAATTGACCGACCAGTTCGGTGACGCTCGTGTGGGATCTCTGGGCTGGTTTCGGGGCGGCAACATATTGCTTTCGCTTCTGTCTCGGTTGGAGGATGTGGTTGAGGTATGCAATTCGCAATGCAAAAGTATAGGCATCGTCATGGCTGACGACGGTGATGTTGCCCCTGGATGCTCCCCTCGGTCTCATGCTTAGCCGGTTGCTAGTTACTCGACGGCCCGGCATCCACGAGCTCCTAGAAGCGGATGACATGATCGCGGATCGTAACGGGTCCGGAGATGCGTGGGGTCGAAAGTCGGACGTGGGCGATAACGGGGCACGATTTATGAGAAAGCTGTCATTCTCGTACCAGCGCAGAATGGCCAGCTAGGTGGTTTGTAGTGGTCGGCTGTAGACTTTGTTCGTAGACGTGACAGGTCGATCTAGGGCTGTCAGGAAGGTTCCAGCTGCGACAGCGGAGAAGTTATCGTCGGTAGGTCGGGGGGTTTGGAGGAAACGAAGGTTGCGGCGAAATGTGGTGGCCGTCGAGAGTTGGATGGTGGTGTTGATCTGCCAAGGACCCAATGTCTAGCAAGCACACTGCAGCCGCTTGGGGACCCTCAGAAGGTTTGGGGGTGAATGTTTGGTGCAGCAGGTGACACACGTCATTGGCAGAAAAGGAGATGTGGTGACTGCCGGGACCCCTTGTACTTTTCAGGAAAAGGTGGCACGGTGGTACCTGCGGCCCTGTGCGGCGCTAAGCGGCCCTGGTATGGACAGCACGAGGGACGGGAGGGAGGCTAAGTTGGCGAATAGTATACCTCTAGCAACATTTCGTCGCTAATGAGGTACTTATCGCAGCAAGTAAGATGGGTGGCATTAGTTGGTGAACAGAGAGGTATTCTGATTTCATTAGTGCTGGGCGTATCGGGTATCGATGATGCCTAACCGGCGGAGACCCGTGGACGGGGCCGGACCACTGGTCACTGCAGTTCTGGCCTGACGATACGACACCTCAATCTAGAGAAATGCGAGCAAACGGATAATGCCAACAACTGGCATGCAATGGGTCTTGGTGTTTTGTTCCAAGCTCTGGGTCAGATTCTACCTTTGATCTTTCTTTGCGACAGAGCTGGAGACGAAACTTCATCAAGACCTCTCCCCAACAGATAATTGAAGAGATACACCACATGAGAATAGTCACCGACTTTCGATGTTTCGTTTCTTTCGTCAGGCCGTGTAAGGCTCCCTTGAAAGAAGCTCTCAGGCGGCAAGTCCACGTACGTGGGACCACACTCTGTACAAAGGGAGACATTCACGATACGAGATTTGTTGCCGCCATGCTTGGCTATTTCGCCTTCAATACGAAAACTTTCACCGTCTGGCATTAGTCTCGGATTCTCAGTCTGGCCTCCTGCAGATCGCCTTGAAATTCTATGTGAGTGAAGTTAAGCCTGAGACTATCAACACCAAAGGGAACTGCTCGCGTGTTGTGTCACTAGCGATAGCGTTATGTATTATCCGTACGGATACGACCATTTCCAAAGGGACCAATGGTATCAGCAAATCACATGCTTCCGCGTAATGTGTCTTGGCCGCTTCTATCGACCTTTCTCCTTGTTCTTTCAATTTTCTTTCTTCTCCACTGCATCCTCCGAACGGTCCAAGGGTATTTCCACGGCCATTGTCCAGCGAATCAGTAGTCCGTCCGGACCAAAGATGGAGCGTCCAGGACGCGCATATCTGGTCCGTCATGCGCAGCTCATCATTTCCCGGTCCTTATCATATTCTGTACGATACTCCACGGGCACTCGTTGAGCGTTTTCCCTGACCCAAGTCACAATGCCTTTCTCGGTCAAATGTCTTACCTCCTAGTCACCGGCAGAAGCCCTGTGGCCATATTCATTGGTAGAACCTATGCTGTGCAAAGGACTAGGTACACTGGCGTTCCAGCGGTCCAGTTGATTTGACACAGGTGCAATCGCAGTCTTATCATGATCAGGGCAAGAAGATCGACGATGCGTCGTGGCAGTCAAGCTGGCAGTGGCACTGAAAGCCGTAGATTCAGAACAGGTAGAAGGCTCGAGTCGCTATGTTCTCTGTGCCCAATGCCCGATTATTCGTCTCAATTTTGTCCGAGGGATGTTCCTTGTCTGCCGCTGGGACGCTGGGGATCGCATGGTCCATTGTTTATCTCATACACACGGACGAGCCCGGCCGCTGGAGCCGTAATAAGTCAGAAAGGCGAAATTGCCCAATACAGCGCCAACAAGCCGGAGGTGACAGGCCTGCATTGTAAAGTATTTGACATTTGGTGATGTATGGGTTGCAAGTTCGATGCCGGCGTGCAAGACGTCGCCCAAGTTGTGGGATCGTATCCGTAGGAACAAAAAGCTTCTGACGGAGTGAACGGTGCGCCGTCACAGTCGGAAGGAGTCATGGTGGTAATAGGTATCAAGGCGCGTACGAGATGCTCTTAGCTTTGCACCGACTAAACAGCTACGCCGCGCAGGCCATGGCGGCCGGCGCCCGTTGATCGGTGACAGGCGCACTGCTTTCGTGAGAGAAAGTCTGAAACAGCTCTCCATCCTCTTTTACCTGAGAGTCTCGGAATCGGCTGGACTCTGCTTGGCTCATAGCAAAGGTAGAGAGGCGAAGACGCTTCCCGGGACTTTGGTAGGCATAAGGACAGCATGCCGAACCCAAGACTGAACCCGACTGGCTAGACGAAAAGTTCGATCAACGCAGAGACTTCGTTCGTATGATTCGAGAGCTTGTTGCATCTACTATGTAGTTCCTGGAGTGGAGGAGAGTGACGGCCGATTGACTTTCAAGGCTTTTCAGAGGACTGGGGAGTCAGTCTCCGAAGGCCCCTCATCAGCTACCCCCTTTCTTGATGCAATGCAGGAGCATAATTGGCAACCTGCAGGTGGTGTCGTCGCAAGTTGACGAGTTGGATCCCGACTCTCTGGAATATTGGATAAGTAAACGGGTGAAAGCGCCATAATCAAGCGAACAGTTTGCAAGAGCCGCTTTGTCGGCGTGATGAACAGAATCCTTGCCCAGTGGCCAACAGACAGGGCCATATCTCCGCGTAGAAGAAACCTGGGGGACGGAGACATGGCGTCCGAGAGGGTGTTCAAGATCTCGCGGCTTGCTGGGCTTTGCTTCGCTTCCCCAAGTTGGGAATCTGGGAGGGGCAAACACCTAGGCCCCTAGAGTGGAGAGGATTGGGGGGCACGAAAAGGAACGGCGGTACTGCGCGCCCAGTCAGCTTGTTGCTTGTTCGTGCTTGTCATGAAGACTTGGTAATTAGTGCCAAGGTGCCTTGCTACGGCCCAACAATGTGCGGGATGGGCAGGACCAGGTGGTGTGGTGATCCCATGCGCTTTGGTCAACTGTCGAAGATCTTGAACTGATGACCCCACCATAGACGTCTAAAAAAGTGAAAGAGGCCGCCGTTGTGCCTGGAATGAAGGAGAGACGCGGATGCTGTTCAGTGCCCCAAAGAGGACCTAGGAGGACACATGAAACCCGGAGGTGAGATGGTGGATGGCTGGCGGTGATGGTGTTAGTGTTGGTGCTGTTTTTGTACTTGACAAGGCTTTGGAAGGTTTGGTGTCCGTTGATGGTGAGGTGAGGTAGACCCTCGCGCTCCTGAATGCCATAGAGGTGATGCCGAGGGGGTAAAGCTCTTTGTGTGATTGATATTATTATCGTTGATGCAGCCCGATGCTTGGTATTCCATTGGAAAGGCTAGACGAAGAGAGTTCCACGGGTGGATAATCATGGGAATTTGAGGCCGGCGGGCAGGGGTCGGGATAAAAGTGAAATCGGCGCCAATCTCGTCTTCGCCAACCCTGGCGCCTGAAGACCAAGTGGGCTTGATTCAACGTCACAACGGGGGAAGGCACTTGGGGATTAAGGTGAGATGCACCTGCCCAGCCAGCGCTGGATGTACCTAATTGCGCATCGCAGCTTTCCAGTGGCAGCGGCGGCGCGTAGTGTACCTTACCCTTCGTGCTTCCCAGTCCAATTCAGACGAGGTGGCATGGTACCTTACCTTACTCCAGACCACCACAGTGACAAGCCCAGCCCGGCCAAGTCCAGCCCACATGCATCGTGTACATGTACCTGACTGGCGTGGGAAATCTCCGCGGCGACACAAGTATCTTGAACCGAATGCGGGCCTTGACGACACTTTCAAGGAGGGGAGGGGGGGCACTGGGGGGCACATCAGCGGCAGCAGGCAAGCACCTCAGCAATAGCAACACAGTGACAGCGACCGACAAGCAACAGGCCTCTGAGGCAGACGTGCCGCAGCCCAGCAGCTGGTGGTTCTCCGTCGACATCGGATCGCAACATTCAACCTTTTGCATTTCCATGACTCTCTTATTCATTTCCCCCCGTCCATTCTACTCTACAACAACTACCACTACATCTCTGGTTTTTTACCTTTCATTCCTGTTCACCCCTCAAATACTCCCACCCTCAACGCCGCCGTTGCCTGCCGTTATCCCCGCAGCTTTTACTTTAACCCCTTCGTTCAGGCCCTCGTCGCCTCCCGCAGCCGCAGCGTCTCGAACCTGGCTGCTCAGTCCACGCTTCCGTACCGCCTGCCCGTGGCTGTGGCTTGGCCTCTTTTTGTGTCGCCAAATGTTCACGTTCCTGGCTAACTTGCGACCCCGCGCTGCAAAGCCCGCCGACCACCAAAGAGGCGCTCCCTCTGCCTCTGCCTCACCTCCGACGTTCTACATCTTCATGCGCCGTTAATCCTAACTTCAACATCTCATCATGGGCATCGTTAGCAGCAAGCCCGATGACGGGGCTACCCTCTATCTTAGAGACCAGAATCGACGTGCGACCTCCCGCCCTCTGCTCCCTCTGTTCTGCTTGCCCTCTGCCTTGCCTGTTCATGCATGCAGCCTTGCGCATCCGCTTGCTAACTCTTCGTTGCAGTATCCATATCTTCTCTCGTCATCTCCAACCCGCGAAGGCGCTCTTCCGTTAACATCGTTCCCAATGCATTCCCCGCCACCAGAGTCTCGGCCTCTCGTCCGCTAGGCGACGGCAGTCCCATAGAATTCGTTCAGGTTCGTAGGCGCAAAGAACAGCACCGCACTTCCTCTGCTCTTTCTACTTCCTAGGGACATGCGCTGACCTTTATATTTGCAGGACACCGAAGTCGTAACAAGTCCCGGCGGCGTCCCGAATTTCATACTGAAGCTCAACCAAGACGATGAGCTAGTCTTCACCTTTACCTTCGTTATACGTCAAGGCCAACAGTTTGTCACCAACGGCGGCGCTGACGCTGTAGCAACAACCGACACTCAAATCAGCGGACTGACCTACGTCTATGCCTCTACACCCCGCGAAGTAGAGAACTTGGTGACCCGCGAGTTCCACGCAGACCCGAATCTACACAAGAATTCCAACGTTGAGTTGGTAGGCGACTTTGCGACTGGCGGCACTCCCTCCGTCTCTTTTGAATGGACCTGGAAATGGAAACCTCCAAAGAGCATTGAAGACAGGGGAGGTGGATGGAGGAATTCCTGCAGCGTATGCTCACTGCAGACCATGAGCATGAAGCATTGCTGATCCCGTCATAGTTCGTCGAATACGACCCTCGCGCTCACTGCCTGCACACTCTGGCTAGTTTCTCATACTGGGTGTCGAGTAAGGCTTCGCTCGTCCTTCTTACCCGCGGCCCGCAGCTGACTTCTTCCAGACCCAGTCTCGCCGCTCAGCCACCCAAACTCGCCATCCCCTCCCTTCCTACTGACCGCCCCTCCTAAGATCCGTGTCGCCTCGTCCCAGTCTGTGGATTCTCGGATCAGTCATGCCGAGTTAGACGAGCCCTTGTCACCGTTGCCGGGCAATACATCATCAACCACCATCCTCCCTGTGCCACAATCTGCGTCGGAGCCGATCAAAGTAGATGTCGCATGCCCGAAACCCACCGACGATGTTCTTGTACCAGACGATGGACCTGTCTTCAGGGCGACGATTAAATCGTTGGAGCAAAAGACTGGCAACATGCGGACGCAGATGAAACGCGTGCTCAAGATGGCCAAACAAGCACACGAAGCACAGCAAGAGGCCAATAAGAACTTTTCCGAGTTCATCGATACTCTTCGGGAAGCCTCTTCAACAAATGCCAATGCTGTCCAGCCAGCCATCGAACACTACTTTGACAAGATTGCCCGGGAGATTCTCGCCTATGAGCGGACAAATACTGTCAACCTCAAGAGGATTGTGATCGATCCTTTGGACAAATTTTATACAGTGGATATCAAGCAAGCCGAGTCCAAGAAACGTGACTTTGAGGAGGAAAGCAAGGATTACTATGCTTACGTTTCAAGATATCTCGGACAGCGTCACGATTCTGTCAAGGCTAAGAAACTGGCAGAGAGTGATTCAAAGTACCAGACCAAGCGTCGCAACTTCGAGCTCAAGCGTTTCGACTATTCGAGTTTCATGCAAGACTTGCATGGCGGCCGCAAAGAACAGGAAGTTCTGTCCCACCTCACGCGATACGCTGACGCTCAAACGAAGAGCTTCCTCGAGGCGGCGAAAAAGATCGATACCCTTCTACCCCAGTTGGAGGCACTTTCAAGCGAAGTACAAGAGGCCGATAAGGAGTATCAGTACCAAAGGCGGGAGCGCGAAGAGAAGAGACGACTACTCGAGAAAAGCAACCAGCCGTACAATGAGCCCGATCCCATCCCTGTACCCGGTACAAGCAGTGGCCCGGTTGCGAGCTCAAATGGAACTGCGTATGTTTCCGACAGTGATCTAGGCCGTGCCGACAGCACAGGATCGCAGTTGAAGGTGGCAATGTCTTCGGGTTCGAATCCTTCCCTCTCAATGGCTTCTCCTGAGCTATCTCGATCCCCGGGCAGTCTCGGCAATTCTTCTGTTGGAAGTCCTGCTCAAGCCTCAAAGTTCAAAGGAATCCGTGATTTGGAGGAGAAAGACTATGGCCAATCGTCAGGCGCCAGCAGCACACAGCGTAAAGAAGGCCTGCTATGGTCCCTTAGTAAGGGCGGAAGCAATCATGTTGACCCGCGCAACCTGAACAAACAGGGTTGGCACAAGTAAGTTCACCTGGAACCCCCAAAGCATTTTGCATCCTGACAAAGCAGGTTCTGGATTGTTCTCGATCAGGGCAAGCTCTCGGAGTATAGCAACTGGAAACAAAGGCTTGATTTGCACAATGATCCAATCGACTTGAGAATGGCATCTGTTCGAGAAGCACGGAATGCCGAGCGTCGATTCTGTTTCGAAGTCATTACGCCTCAGTTCAAACGAGTCTACCAAGCAACGTCGGAAGAAGATATGAACAGTTGGATAACGTCTATCAACAATGCGTTGCAAAGTGCGGTCGAAGGTCGCATCATGAGAGACAAGTCGGCGCCGAGCGATTCAGGATACATCAAGAGAGACATTGGCTCGATCCTCACCGGCAAGAGCCCCTCTGTTGGCCACAATAGCCACCACAGTCACGCAAATTCAAATAGCGCACCCGTACGCCGAATTACTGTGGGCGCTCGGCCCAGCACGCATCGATCAACCAGCTCGAGTTTCGACGAGAATCCTGACAAGCTGCTTCAATTGCTTCGCGACAACGACCAAGGAAATTGCTGGTGCGCTGATTGCGGGTCGGGTACAAAAGTCGAATGGGTTTCAATCAATTTGGCCATTATTCTATGCATTGAATGTAGTGGCATTCATCGCTCCCTCGGCACGCACATCAGCAAAGTGCGATCTCTCACCTTGGACATCAATTCCTTCACCTCTGATATTGTCGAGCTGTTACTTCTTGTTGGAAATAGAGTGTCCAATATGATTTGGGAAGCGAAGCTCGAGCCTGGCTTCAAGCCGACACCACAGGCAACCCGAGAGATGCGGTTGCGGTTCATTACGGCAAAGTACGTGGATAGGGCATACGTTGAGCCGATTTCAGCCACACTTTCGCGTTATCCAAACCCCGACGACACCTTGCTGGCAGCCATCAAGAAGAATGAGATCCAGCAGGTGATCTACGCCTTGGCTTTGAGGGCAAGTCCTAATGTCACGGACAGGTCTCGAGGAACGCACGCAGTTTTTCTGGCGCTGGCGGCCGCCGATCCTGCGTCACCTTCTCCCACTCCCGGGCAGCCCCCGGAGACGGACAGAACGGTGCCATTCCCAGTTGCAGAGATGCTGCTTCAAAATGGTGCAGAAGTTCCGTTGACGATGCCGGCCTTCCCCCTCAGCCGGAGTGCGCAATTGTATATTGAAGAGAAACGAGGGCGCAGCACGGGGTTTTCAAGCGACAGCGTCGGGTCATTGCCCGGCAACCTGAGTCCCAACGAAAAGCTGCAGCGGGAGAGAGATGCCCGATTACAGAAGAGAGTAAGCGCGGGAGGACGTCTGGCCAAGAGCCCGATTCCGGAAAGGTAGCGACCTACCTGTCTCGAGCGGCTGGGACAACTCAACATGTGCCTTGCCTTTGCACTGCATGCGAGGCATAGATCTTCTCTTGAAGTTCACTTATCGACAGACGATTATGATGACTCCGGGGGTGACGATGGATGAAATCATGTTGGCACTGGCAAGAAGACGAAGAGGAAATGGCTGGCATGCTTTGACACTGTCATTACGAGAAGCCATATTGATTTTGAAGGGTCTGGTGGTCCTTTTTCTTTTCCTACCGGGCGAGAGAGGCTATCTGTTTTCATTGCCGGACATGAGGAGCCCAGAGTCACGGGACCATGTTGTCACATATAGCATGTGTACAGAGTGCTCTTTTCCATGACAGACGCTAGCGCAGGGCCGATCAGGTACACACCATTGTAGCAGTCCTCGATTGGAGAAGGCCAAAGGTTGGAGAGTGCAGAGACGGCCGTTGTGCGTGCGTGCTTGTCAGTGTGTGTATGGATAGTAATAGTAATGAAATGATGAATACAAAGTAAGATAGTAACATTTTATTTCGGCTGTATCGTATGCCATAGACCGAGTGAATGAGGCGGTTGAGGCGAAACTCTTGTTGCCACTGGCAGTCAGACAGAAAAGGAGAAAAAAAGAGAAGGAAAATCGTAAATGAGTCGTTTGGTGGCAGGTGAAGCACTCACGTGTGGGTTTGACGTGGGATGAATCACACCTGCGGTCCGTAGTATACTTAGCCACAGCAAGCGACGGGACGCACACCTATTCTTACAGAGTGACCTAAAAGACTGGGTAGAAGGGGTGTGGGGAACGTCACTCTTAGATGCTGGGAAGGGCACATGATGGGAATGTCTCAATTTGGAGACTCGAGACGGAGGATGGACGGGTGTCTACGTCAAGCTCGTTCGCCATACCCGCTGTCGAGACCCAAGTTCGACAAGGTGTGGTGAGGAGTCCATGAGCATAGTATGGGAAATCTCGATCGTAAATAGTAAGGAAAGCAACCTTAGGGGCAATAGCGGCTATTTGATTCATGAACACCTTAGCTACCTTACTTTACCTTCATCATCTGGTTGTGGTTGAGTGGGGCACCCTTCCGAGGCGAACATCGCGATAGTGTGCAGGTGAGGTTTGCAGAGGGAAGAAGAACGGCTCACATGAGACCTGCTTCTTTCCGCCACATGGTTCGTGATAGAGGCGGAGGCGGGAGGGAAGTGGGAGAGGAGCTATTATCAGTCGCACGCAGGCGCGGTTCTTGCTTCCGCTTCATGGGGCTGGCGGCATTCATATGGAAGGGGATGGGAGTCATTTCCCTTTTCGAGAAAACGGAATTTTGAAATGTTTTGCCATTCAACCTCGTTCATCATCGTTGCTCTCGTATCACTCATCGTTGCGGAAGCACCATTGCCATCGTCTTTTCAACTCTACGCGACCCAGTGTATAACGACTTCTACCTTGCCTTGAGGTAAGGTACCTTACCTTACACCATCTCTCTATTTCACCTTATCTGTGGTATCTGTGCACGTATCTGCCAGATCTACATACGATCTGCGACAGTCGAAAAAACGAAAGGAAAGAAAAAGGAACTGAGCAGGGAAAGCGGCTTTGGTTTACCTCATTTGAGAGAGCAAGAGAAGAAGAGCTCGCAGGAAACAGCCGATGACTGCGTGTCTAGGCTGCAGCGCACCCAACTGCTGCACCACTGCAGTCATTCGATCCTCGAGGACCCACTTGCTCTGGCACGGTCGTCCTCGATCCGAGAAAACCAAGGGAAGGAAGGCCCTGTCAACAGCTAACCTCCACTGCCTGCCTGCCTGCCTGCCTCCAGCAAGCAGTCCAGCTGTGTCAGTGTGAGGTAAGGTGACTCTGGGGCGGTGTTCACAGTCCAGCCCAGTTACCTTCCCGGTGACGGGTCCAGCAAGCCCCAGCCAGCCCTGCCCAGCCCAGCGGACGGGACCCTCCCCAGGACCAGGACACAGGACAGCCGTGGACAGGACAAGCAGGACCACCACCTCACCAGCACCGGGACACAGGGACAAACTGACGGGACCCGGCAGCTTGCACAGGGCCATTGCCAGGGGCGTTTGGTTGGTTCTTCCACTTTTTTGGTCTGGCTTGGCCGTAGCTTGAGCACCACTGCACTTGCACCTGCACCAAGCTACCACCTCCCTTTCCCCCTCTCCACTTTGGGGGAACTGACTTCCCGGATCGTCCAATACGCAGGCCGCAGTACGCAGTAGCTCCTCCATTTTCCAGGCTGCACTCCACGCTCACTCCTCGGGGCTTGCCTTTCCAGGCTTTTGCTGAGCAGCTGGTTTATTAATGCGAAGAGCCTCGCCATCCATCACATCTCTCCCTTAGGCAACACTTCCAACATCCAATCTTCCCATCCCCAATCCGTTACAACTTTCACAATCACCCACGTTACACCTTATCCTCAGAAGTTTTGTCTGCACAAATCATTTTGGCCGTACAGAGGTTTCCCGTACGTACTAGCTTTACCATAACCAAAGATCGACACATACCTGGTACCCATTAATTCACCGACGACGTAACCATTCCTTACCTCACCTTGCTTTACCCGCCTGCTGCCTCGGAGAATTCCACTTGCGAGCGAATCCCGCAAGACTCGTAACACTACCAATCGAGGCCATGGCTCCTCCTCAACCCGAAAAGAGCCAATTGAAACGAACTAGAGTAAGTCGTCTACTGATCTGCCCGGCCTTCTGGTGTGCAATCCTAAATCGTCTTTCCCTTCCAAAGGGTTCTCTGCCAGAAACCGAACTGGATGCGAAGAAGCCCCGCCGCTCCGACAGGCAATCACCCGAACCCGAGCACAGGACGCCAGTCTCTAAGAAGCATCAGCTTCCCTCCCCAGTCACAAGGTCCGGCGACTCGGATGAGGTCTACAAGGAGCCCACCGCCACACCCCCGGAAGGACGTCCTAGCCAGGTGAACCACCGCGATAAGGACGACGCGTCGCAAGCCGTTAATAACATCTCCTCACCGCCGCAGGAGGCTACCCAGGCTTTCTCGCAGTATGCCCACGAGACCAAGGAGGCCCTCTCGGACGAGGTCGAGGATGAGGTGAAGGAGGGCGTATGGGGATACTTGTTCCCTCTCGATACCAAATATGGCAAAGTTGTCGTCATGAAGAGGCGAGCTGCTTGCCCTCTGCCTGACGCTCTTGAGGCGAAAGAGTCAACGAATAAGGATCAGAATGGAAAGTCGTCCCTGCAGAAGGAAGAAGAGGCGTACGAGCGCACAAAGGTCAAGGGAGTTGCATCGGGCGGATACTTGATTGGCCGTCATCCAGAGTGCGGTAAGCCTGTCGTCCGTCTCCGGGCGTAGCCATGGTGTCGCTGACAACTCGCAGACATCGTCGTGGACGATCCTATCATTTCCAACAGGCATTGCTTAATCTTCACTGAAAACAAGGGCGGTGACACTGTTGCGATTCTGGAGGATTTGTCTAGTAACGGAACTTTCGTCAACGAAGCAATCGTAGGACGCAACAAGCGGAGAGAGCTCCAGGAGCAAGACGAAATCGCTGTTATTGACAAGGCTCGTTTTATCTTCCGGTACCCCAAGAGTCGGCAATCTAGTGCATTTCTGAGTCAGTACACTCTCCTCGAGAAGTTGGGCAAGGGTCACTTTGCCGAGGTGTTTTTGTGTGTCGAGAAGTCTACCGGTCAACGGTACGCCGTCAAGATCTTCACCAAAACGCCCGGCATGGAGGAGAGATCCAAGCAGGAGGGCTTGCAGCAGGAGATTGCTGTTCTCATGGGCGTCAGCCATCCCAACGTTCTCTGCTTGAAGGACACGTTCAATGAACGTAACGCCGTTTATCTGGTCCTCGAGCTGGCTCCTGAAGGCGAGCTGTTCAACTTCATTGTGATGAGGCAGAAAGTGAGCGAGGATGAGACGCGTAAGCTCTTCAAGCAGCTCTTCCAGGGCATCAAATATCTTGTGAGTCTCATATCATGGCAATTCTGAGTCGAGCGCTGACGAGTGGCAGCACGATCGCAACATTGTTCACAGAGATATCAAACCTGAGAACATCTTGATGGTCGACAAGGAACTCAATGTCAAGCTGGCTGATTTCGGCTTGGCAAAGATCATTGGCGAAGAGTCCTTCACGACCACATTGTGCGGCACGCCCAGTTATGTGGCTCCGGAGATTCTCGCCGAGGGCAGGCACAGAAAGTACACGAAAGCTGTAGACATTTGGTCGCTGGGTGTCGTGTTATACATCTGCTTGTGTGGCTTCCCGCCCTTCTCGGACGAGCTCTATTCTAAGGAATTCCCCTACACACTGTCGCAGCAGATTAAAAGCGGTAGGTTCGACTACCCGTCACCGTACTGGGATTCTGTTGGCGACCCTGCTCGTAAGTGGCTCGAAAGTCCAAATTTTCTACACAGAGACTAATGCCTCAAACCAGTTGACCTGATTGATTCTATGCTTGTCGTCGACCCCGAACGTCGATTCACTGTGGACCAGTGTCTCAACCATCCATGGATGACTCAGAACCAGCCTGGTGTCAATGATAGCACTGATGGTCTTGTTGGCGGCATTCAGAGCTTGGGCGTCCATCGACGGGGCGTGACCAGAGAACGTACTCTCTTGAGCACATTGAACTCAGTCCAGGTGGCAACCAGAGCGCCTGTGGGAGACAGCAAGAAGCCCGTCAATATTTACGCTAAGAACACGAAGAAGATTCAGCCAAAAGAGGCTGACCCCCACTCGCAGAGAGCTGTGGGCGAGTTCGTGGAGATGGGGGGCAAGGGCGACGAGCCGCTCTTTGGGGCCGATGGAGAGAGCATTTACTCAAAGAACGACATTGCTAGCGCCGAGAAGAATGATGGGAAGTAATGTTGTGTAATGTTTCTTGTGGGTTCTTTGGGAGCATGGATTATGAGATGTGTCTGGGGACAGCATCGGCGATGTTTTGGGTTCTTGGCTTTCCTGGTGCCATGCAGGCATATACTATGTTTGCGACACCACCAGCCATTGTTTTCAGTAGTGTCTCGGGCTTGGAGAGAAGGGTTGTGCAGTAAAGCATTGGACGACCTATACAGATACGCAGGCACGGATGGGCAAAAGTTTGGAGTTTGACGTTGTCTTTGATTGAAACAACGGCCCAATATAATAATAAGCTTAAACAACATGCAAAACTTGTCTGTAAAGATACGTTCTGTCGATGACATGCGCGGTAGGTTGACCAGCTCCCATCATTTGTAGGGGAGGTACCTTAGATTGATAAGTTGTATATCGGTCAAGGAGTCAAGACTCACTGATATTACCCACCGATGTATCGGCCCCGAGAGGACACGAGGCGGCCAGGCTGCTGCGGGTCACACCGGCGGTCCAGATGGACGGGGTGGGGCCGAACCAACGACATGTCTTCATTGGGCCCTCAACTCTTTTTCTGCTATTTATGTTTCTTTTCTACTTTCCAAGCAAGATGAAAATATCGATTCCAGAATGTCCTGCTTGGAAAATATCATTGCCTCGATTTTCTTGCGAATTACAGCATGCCATAGTGAACGATTTGATGTAGATGCGCATTTGGTGTAACGCCCGACGTTGAACGCTGGCACCCCGCTTCGTTCACCGCCTTCGCCTAGGGCCCCATTTGCGGTTTTTCGCACAACTGCGAAAGTGGCAGAAAAAATTGCTTACCACCACCCCTCCATCAACGACGACGTAGAACGAGTCGGCCTTCGCAAATCGAAGCAGTTGGACTCACCGCACGACAGACCGACCCCCTGTCTCCGTTTTGTCAAACGACACGCCCCCTCTCTCTGTCTTTCTCACACTTTCGGCCGTCTGGTTTTTCCCGGGTTTAGAACCTCCTCTTTTTGGTTTTTCTCTCCAACCCCCCGATCAACCGCATAAACCACCGACCTCGAAACCCACCCACCCCCTCTCTTCGTCGTCGACCCTCCCAAAAATCCCGAACACCACATCGGAAACAATCATGGCGGCGGGAGCGAAGCAACAACAGGCGCAGCCGCAGCTGCTGTTCGTCGATGGTTCCTTCCAGGAGCTGGCCCGCGAGATGGCCGAGTACCTCCACATCGCCGACGAGATTAAGCCCCTTGTCGAGAACGAGGCCAAGAAGGAGGAGGTCCTGAGCAAGCTGGTGGCTAAGTCGGCGGCGCTGTCTTCGGTGCCCGAGAAGGAGTTCACGGCCGCCTCGAACCTGATGGTCCACCTCGTCCTGCAGTCCGAGGAGCCCAAGAAGCACCTGCCCACCCTGTGCAGCGCCTTCAGCAAGCCCATCGCCTCGAGCCCCGTCAACGGCGTCGGCCTGAGCCTCAACGCCCTCAGCACCGTCTTCAACCTCATCGCGCCCGAGAACCCGATCCGCTTCAACGTCTTCATGGCCATCCTGCGCTTCCTCAAGTCTCACGCCATGTACGATGCCGTCCAGCCCTACCTGAAGCACCTCCCCAGCTGGTTCGAGGAGTGGGCCACCGGCGAGGAGTTTCAGAGACAGATGTACGAGGAGATTGCCGAGGTTGCCAAGGAAGCTGGCAAGGAAGAGTGAGTTTTTTACGATATCCCGAGACTTTTGGGATGAGAACATCAGACGTGCTGACGGCATGTGCCCCACCTTGATAGGGAAAGCTACGAGTACATTCTCAAGGCCCTGCGCACCTTTGACGCCGATGACAAGGAGGAGATTGGCTCCGAGGACGCCCAGAGGCTATCCCTCCGCGCGGTCCGCGACGCCCTCCTGTCCAACACACACTACCTCTTCACGGACATCCGCAGCATACCCTCGGTCCAGAACCTCTCCGAAACCCACCCCATCTACTCCCAGCTCCTCGACGTCTTCGCCGAGCAGGACCTCGAGGACTACAACGACTTCAACGACGAGCACTCTGGCTTCGTCGAGAAGGAGGACCTCGACCACGACAAGCTCCACCGCAAGATCCGCCTCCTGACCTTCGCCTCCCTCGCCGCCCAGACGACCTCGCGCCGCATCGAGTACGCCGCCGTCGCAAAGGCCCTCCAGGTCCCCGCCGAGGAGGTCGAGATGTGGGCCATTGACGTGATCCGCGCCGGCCTCGTCGAGGGCAAGCTCTCCCAGCAGGACCAGGTCTTCCTCGTCCATAAGGTCACCTACCGCGTCTTTGGCACGCGGCAATGGCAGGAGCTCGCCACCCGTCTTGACTCGTGGAAGGGCACGTTCACGAACCTGCACGACGTCATCCGCAAGGAGCAGGCCAACGCCAAGGCGCAGAAGGAGCGCGAGGCGCAGGAGGCGGAGCGCAAGCAGCAGGGCGGCGGCGAGGGCGGTCGCGAGGGCGGCCGTCAGCAGAGGGGCCAGGGACGTCGCGATAACAACCAGCAGCGCGAGCCCAGAGAGCCAAGGGAACCCCGTGAGCCTAGGGAGCCCAGAGAGCCGCGCGAGCCCAAGGAGCGGACGGAGGATGACGACTAAGCGGGAGGCATGAATTCTGGTCTGTTGATGAGGAACTTGCCTTTTTGCTTAAGTTGACTTTTCTCGCCTCGCGATATCCACACAGCTCAAGGGGATGCAAAGCGGGACGAGGGGGAAAACGATGGGCCGAAACGAACACCAAACATTACGGCGAAAGAGGAATCAAAAGGTTTCAGGGAGGCCAAAGGGGAGAGAGGAAACTTCGTTCGTGTTTATTGTAATTACGGCGAGGAGAGAGAAGAGTTAGGTGTCCCTGGGACCGTATATGGGACCCGCGCGGATTTCCATACCTTAGAGCTGGGACAACGCTTTTTGTTTTTGTTTTCATGGAACAGTGATGGAAAAAAGGGATGGATTCCGAGTTTTCGACGCTGTGGCACATGACTTGCTTTGCTGCCGGCATTGCGGGAAGAAGAAAAGCAAAAAGGTCTTTTTTTTTTTTAACACTTATTTAGGGGGGTCCCCGAATGAATCCGGCGTAACGAAGAGATTTACGATACAGACGTCTTTTTAGCCTTGCTTGTCCTTGACACTATACTGCTCCTTTTGTTGTTGGTGACCGGCCGCCTGATCGAAAAGCAACTGCCAACTATGTACAAAGCTCTTGATATGTCCGCGGCTGAACATAGCTTTTGTACGACACACCTAGTAGGCATGCCATGGTGGCATTACAACCATCATGAGGTTCACGGTAGAGGGGAGCCTGGGCCAATGATTCATATTTGATACTCGAGTCTTTTTATTTGTCTTTTTCGAGGATTTGGTTGAGAAACTCAATAGTACATGTCTAGATATACAATAGACAAACAACAAAAGAGAAAAAAGGAATCTTTTTTCGACTCCGGAACTTCTTATACAAGCACACACACATATGGCGAAAGGCTCTTCTTCTCGGAGTCTATGCCAAAAAAAAAAAAAACGACCTGACCCTTCTCTACCGCACCCCTCTCTAGACTAATTCTGCATTTTGCCTCTTTTTTTTTTTTCTTCATCTCGGAGTCTGGTGTTCACTTTCAGCCCTGCAACGCAGAGAAGACGAAATCTCTAATCATGGCAGGCCGTGAGCGAAGCCAGGAGAAACGCAGGCCAAACTGTTTAGCCAGCATAGGTGCACGTAGTCCCCCGCCATTCGATCTAAGCTGTAACCCGCAACTCTGTTGCAGAGCGCCAAGTCGGTTCCTCCTCAACCCCCAAACTCAGATGCCCAAACGCTTGGAGAGCTCGGAGCGCGTCTTGCTGTACACGTCCTGCGGCGAAGGCGTAGCATCGAGCTTGACGACGCGGCCCTCCCTTTCAAAGTAATCCACGACGGGCATGCTCGTCTCGACAAAGGTGCGGAAGCGCTTGCGGATGCTCTCGGCGTTATCGTCAGCGCGACCGCTCGTCTTGCCGCGCTCGAGCAGGCGGCTCTCCATGACGTCCTCGGGGCAGTCGTAGAAGAGCACCAGCTTGGCGGGGCAGACGGCCTCTTCGAACTTGACGGCCTGGTCCATCTTGCGGGGGAAGCCGTCGATGAGGAAGCGGGCCTTGTTGCCCGGGTTGTTCTTGATCGTCTCCGTCATGGCGTTCTCGAGCAGCTGGACGGTGACTTCCATGGGTACGATGAGGCCGTCCTTGATGTAGTCCTTGATGAGCTGGCCGAACTGGGAGCCGGGGCGGTCTTGCTCTGCGCGGAGGAGGTCGCCGGCCGAGAGGTGGGTGAAGCCGTAGTCGGAGACGAGGCGGGCGCACTGGGTTCCCTTGCCGGCGCCGGGACCGCCGAGGACGAAGAGGACGGTCACGTCGGCGGGGGAGAAGGTCGGGGTCGACTTTGCTGGGGCGGGAAGGCCTTGCTTTGCCTCGGGGGCGGGGAGGGAGGCCATCTCTGTAGGTGTTTTTGTCAGTTGAGCCTCTGTCTCGTGATTGCACAGCTTGATTAAGCTACTGAAAGAATTGGAACATCGTTTCTGTGCTCATCCTGTGGACGAAAGCGACAAGATCATGCTTGGGGCCTAGGAAGCTGCTTTGGGGGGTATCAGGGTTAGACAAAGATAGCTTACCTGCTCTTTGATCGACGAGGAGCTTGTAAGCAAAGCTACCGGCACCGACAACAACGAGGAAGGGCCAGAACTTGACGCCCGAGGACTTCTTAGGGGGTTCCGAGGAGTAGAAGCGACGGGCCGGGAGTCGCTGTTGAAGACGAAGAGAAGAGCGAGAAGTGGAAGTGAGGATATTAGAAGAGCGGATTGGGGAAGAGGAAGCTCGGGAGAGCAGACGGGGCGCAAAGGAGTGCATGATGACGGGGCTATAAGATGGCGAGGTAGGCGCGGGTTTGGCGGGCGGCAAGCGGCTAGTTCGGGGGGGTGAGAATGAATAAGGTATGGAGGCTTGTCAATGCAAAGTGACGAGGGCTGCGGCTACACCAAGGACAACGAGAGAGAGGGAAAAAAAGAGTGACAACGTGTGGTGGTGGTTGGTGGATGGTGGTTTCGAAACCTGTCCTGCGTTCACGCACTGCTGCTAGGGTCAGCTAAGGTAGGGAAGTGTTGGCGTGGCACAATTTTGGACGGTCCCGTCACCTCCTGAGAGTGGGGCAGATTTGAGGGCAATTGGGGATTGGGATTGGTATTCTGGCACCTGGGCTTCCAGACCGCCCGACCTCATGACCCCTGACCACACTGACGTATGTCCACTTGGCAACAGTACTGGGGTTCTGGCGCTGTCACGTGGAAATATCGTTGAACATCATTGAGATAAGCTTTCGTCCGTTTGTTGAAGCCGTCTTATTCTTACATATCTTTGGAAGCCAAGGGACGTCCGTTCTTCCCGTGCGCTTCTTCCGTCGCTGGGACCAATCGCTGACGTCTACTTCCTACACGGCGAAGATGCTGCGTCTGGTAGACTGAGTCTCTGAACTTATTTGAAGACTAAGATATCTTCTCGCATTTCCTGTCCCTCCACGGGAGCTAGCCAAACTTACAGCTATTCAACAGACCGTCTCACTTGGCTACATTCCGTACTTTGGCTCATTCATGGGACTTTGTTTCAATCATGCCACATTAACAATTACTCCCTGAATATATCACAGTCGTTAATTACAAGGTGCTATCAGACTAGGGTTCCCTGATCACATGGTCGAGCGAGGAAAGTAGTTATGGTGCATGTGTTTGTCATGAGTCTGGTTTGGTGGTCATCCCAGCTACCGGGTCGTCTCCTGACGGAGGCCTCGCCCGCATGATCCGATTACAGCCTTGCCAACACAAGCGCGGACTCGGGCGGATGAAAGTTGCGGGCGGCAAACTTCACCGGCGTGACTTGGGTTGTGGGCGAAAACCCGACAACAAACGTTTATACCGCGTCGTGCCTGCGAGGCCTCCATCAGCATAATTGACAAAAAATGTGAGTGCTTGGCTGTCTCATGCTCGTCATGCTGGCTTGAGTTTGCCGGGCTTCGAAATGCTACAGCGCAGCCCAATCTGCGATGCCGGTCATGCAAAGCTCGAGTAAGTCAACATCTTACACGGCTGCAAATGCGGTCCGGCGGGATGATCTTGGCTCGACCCGCGACCTTTGTACGGAGAGGGGGGGGAAGACAAGCTATCCATGGCATTATGTAGGACCGTGAGCCAACATATGTTCTTTGCCAAAATCATACCGCTCGGCCATCGACTACAACGGACGGTGCTTGTTGACAGCTCACTCGTCTTTGGCGCCTATAAGGAAGTGGGCAGGTATCAGATGAGTGTCCATCAAGGTGCGTATTGAACAGTGAGGGAGGAGGTGAGGTCACCTGCCCAAGACGAAGATTTGTAGAGGCCAGATCGTATTCATCTATGAATATTGACCTCATATTTACTTATCGCCGTACGTGAGTATATCATACATGCTGGGTGAAAGGATATAACACTTATCCAAGTAATGTGACATGCCCAAGCTTCAACAATTCGTGTTAGTATCACTGAAAGCTCTGATGAACGGCTCTTCTGGAGGTATAAGGGAAGCCCTTAGCACTACGTGAATGATAATGTCCCAAATATTGGACACGTGCTTTGTAAGAAATTGCAGACCGAAAGAGCTTGCGATATGACACTGAGTGAGTGAAATCTGAACCTATGAGGCATTGAACAATATCGTTCGATATGCCGCAATCGATATATTGTTGTCGCCAACGGCATCGTTGACAGAAGCACACTCAAAGCTCGTGGCTCAAGGCTCATGCCACATCATTGGTTGTCTACATCTCACGTAAATCCAACGCATCGTGTATGCCACATCACTCGACCCTATCAAATAAGGATTGACCAAGCTTGCCTATTAAGGCAAGTCCCATCTCCATATCATTGGAATCCACGAAATGCTTATCCTGCCAGAAACCTTAGAGAAAATAAGCACAAGCGAGCCGCGGAGAATCTCAAATCGCAATTGGAGAACTACGAAGGATCGAACTTGCAGGATCATGTTCAGCTCGAAATCGGCATAGGGCTTACATGCGAATCGCCCGAGAAGCTGAGAGGCTGATAACTCCGAGTGGCTGTACCGCGAAAGAGTAAGACAAGTTTTGGCGAAGAGCGAGTTCCACTTTGTCTTAGCTGCCCCTCACGAAGCTCTCCAGCTCCTCCTTGGGGCCACGCTAGACGCGGGGTCTTATTGATAAAGACGTCGGGATCCTCAAATGGTCCAACGGCCGTGAGCCCGCGGAGATATCAAATCATCAGGTTCCAAGACTTTATCATTTACACCCAGCCCGTCGTTTCTTTACAAAAGAATTTATCAAATATCCACCCTACAATAAGCTTCAACAATGCCCGTACTCAAGCCCAATGCTGAATTCGGGCACTGCGTACCACCGGAGACGCAGTATGGTATAACCACCTACGCGCCAGGATGGGAAAATGCAATCAAGTTTCGAGAGGGAGACCGAGCCACTATGGCTCGCGTTGTTCACATATACCCGAGATTTGGGCCATTCGGGCCCGTCTCCAAGGTCCGTCTTGTTCATTCTAGAGACCCCCTGAATCGACAACACCAATCTAGGGCCCTTTTGTAAGGAAAGCACCATATTGGAGAACTCAGCTGACAGAACCAAAAAAGGCGCTCATGGCCATCTGCGCAAAGATTAAAACCCCTGAAGGCCACGGAGCACTCTTCTTCACCTCACCGGCCTCCTTCGCCACCGTGCGCGCCCACGCTCTTCACCCTCACCGAAAGCAGCACGTCCTGACTGATGAGGACCTGAGCTACCGATGCGTAGATGTCGGCGATGTGCGTCTTTACCTAGTCACTTATCCCATGCCCAAGACCCCTGGCGTCATTGGCGCCTGGCAGAACCCGGGCATAGGCGTCTCGATCCGTCTGGCGGAGAAGCTCCTGGAGGACATTGAGTCCTTGAAAGAGGTTGACTTCGAAGGTGCGGGAGATTCGCCGCCGCCGACAAAGTATCTACCCGAGGGCGAGGCGCACGGTAAGCTGAGGGAACGCATCACTGGACTCATTCACCGGGCCGCGATCGATCCGGACCAGGTGAAAGCTGAGGCCAGAGACGTGTTTTTGTACCCCACGGGTATGGCCGCCATCTTCGCCGCCCATAGGACTCTGCTTGAGTATCGCCCTGGCAGCGTCGTGATTCTCGGGATTGCCTTCCACAGTACCGTTCACTATCTCCAAGACTCCTCGCCGCAGGGCTACAAGCACTTTGGCCCTGTCGATAAGAAGGGCGTCGACGAGTTTGAGTCTTGGCTTGACGCAGAAGCGGCCTCTGGCAGGGACGTGAGCTATGTCATCGCCGAGTTTCCCAATAACCCTCTGCTAGCCAGCACTGATATCAACCGTATCAGAAAGCTTGTAAGTGACCAAATCATTAGATATTAGGGGTTAATGTACCTAGTTAACACCTCACATAGTCCCAAAAGCACAACTTCGTCCTCGTGCTCGACGATACAGTCGGTTCCTTCAGCAACATCGACATCCTGCCCCAGTCTGACATTCTCATCTCCTCGCTCACAAAATCCTTCTCGGGCTACGCAAACGTCATGGGCGGTAGCATCGTCCTCAACCCGCTCTCATCACACTACTCCGCCCTCCACCCCCTCTGGTCCAAAACCCATCACAACGAGCTCTTCATCGGCGACGCCGAGGTCCTCCTCTCCAATTCGGAAGACTACCTCCCGCGCACCGCGATCCTGAACCGCAACGCTGCCGCCATGGCCGCTCATCTCCACGCCGAAGCCTCCAAGAACCCTGGATCAGGAGTCGTGAAAGTCCTCTATCCCTCCGTCCTTCCCGACTACGAAACCTATAAGTCCTTCCTCCGTAAACCGACACCAGAACTCCCTGAACCAGGCGCGGGCTGTCTACTGAGCGTCGACTTTGACTCCGTCGAGGCCGCGCGCGCCTTTTACGACCGCCTGGCGTTTTACCCCGGTCCCCATCTCGGCGCGCACCGTACTCTTTGCCTAGCGTATAACACGCTCGCGTTCGGAAAGGACCCCGAAGAGGCGGCGTTCCATCGGTCGTACGGGATTTTGGAGGAGACGGTGCGTATCTCTGCTGGGTTGGAGGATGTCCAGGACCTTCTTGATACACTGGATGATGCGTTGGCTGTTGCGAGGGAGGTTAAGGCAAAGTTGGCGGAGGGACCTACGACCGTGGAGGCTGCTGCTGGTCTTGGTGTTTCTGCCTAGCAGTTTGTCTTGTATAGCTGGGCTGATTTCGCAGCGGAACAGAACTCTCTATCAATAAAGCACATTAAAATTCTACCCTATATTTGTGGTCCATGGGATCAGCGTTTCTGTGGAATGTCTGGCACACTGCCGCCTAGCCAGACTCTCATCAACGTTAGGGTAGAAGACCCGGGCTGTCTAGGCGGACCAGGAGACCTACACCTATCTTTCAGTGAAAGAAAGTGTTGAAATTTATCATTACAGTTGCAACAGTCCGATTAGTGTTTGGGAAGAATCTCTCGTCGTTATACAAGTCTAGGTTGCTGTCAGCTGGATCTGCTTTCTTCGCTCGCCGTCTTTTACACAGCTTTTTACTTTCTCTGGTGGGCTCTGCGTGTAACAAATGCCGAGAAGGCTCACCCCAAGACTATTGGGCGCGGAGAAGCCAAGCAGACACGAATCGAATCCATAGAAGGCTCAGCCTGCTGGGTGCTCAGCTTTTGGGAAACTATCGTGAACTACGCTGATATGGTTGGAGTTTGTGCAGAGCTTGGGAGAGCCATAGAGCCGCTCATTCCACTGTCAACCCGGATGTTCTCAACTTTTTGTAGGCTTCCAGTACAGCGATGCTATCTGGCAGTTCACACGCAACGTCTAGTGGCCCTGTCCGAGACGGCGGATAGCAGAACGAATGGCCCCAGGAACGGCGTTTGTCGACTAGGAACTAAGACCTTCTGGCGTACTGAGTCTACTTTATGTACGAACTGCTCTAGAACTGTCCATGTGCGTACTCGAAAGGCCAATAAACCCTTCGAGTACTTCGGTATATATTAAGAAAAAGGCCTTGAGAAAACCTCTTTCTTAGTTTTAAATTAAGTCAAAGATGTTGGGTCGTTGATACTGGTTTCGTGGTATTCGGCAGAACACTCAATGGGGATGAGAAGTTACGAGAAAGTAGTCCTTTGCATTGGCTAAGAATATACATCATCAAAAGAACATCATTATTTCCGGCGTTGTAAAGATGAACGTAATGTTTCATGTCTCATAGAACAATAGCCAAGATGCACGTAGGTCTTACCAATCGACGAGAGTCTGCACCTCAACACTCGCTCGAAATTTGAAAGAGTCTATTACGATATGCTTTGGATCCAGTCTAATTACCTGTATGCTCATACAGGCTCAGCACCTGGCTATGATTTGAGTAGGTCTTTGCACAGCCCATACCTCTTTTGTGAATTTGCATTGCTATTCGTAAGTTGCGTGTATATTCGCTATGTCGAAATTCTGCTCCTCTCTCCATATGCCCATGTCCCTAGCTGAACTTCATCAGTAAGCCTTGCTGTACATTCAAAGTAGCCATCTATGCACAGTAGCCGTTTATCTATGCGGCGAGAACCCCTGCCCAGCACTAAGCAGAAGTTGCGGCCTCTTCCTTCTCGGCCTTACGGCCAATAACTGAGTAGCTGGCACCAGGGCAATTAGCACAAACGTAGACTTTGGAAGGCTTGTGGCGGGAATAGAAAAAAGACAGGAATCGATACTAACATGGGAAAGTAGGCGTGATAGCTTCTATTCTTCAAATCTTTGCGGACATCGACGAGAAACACATTGACTTCGTCGCGGGTCCAGCAGTGGACACGGGTGAGAAGCGCCATACACACGGCTTCGAGATTGCTGGAGAAGTTCTCGTAGCACCAGAGGCCGAGTTTTTTGTATCTATGACAAGGAAGTGTCAGCCCAAGTATATTTTCAGACCTGGAAAGATGACAAAACGTGTTCTCTCCGATGGAACGGTTTATTAGGAGAGAAGTGAAAGAAAGCGCCACACTTTTCATCTTCGGGCCAGCTGTTCATAGGCCACTTGAAAATCCGTAGCTCGACGTCGACAAATCCAGCCTCAACAACAAGACTTTTAAGGGTAGATACGTCGACGAACACACGGCCCATCTTTTCGGACCCAGAACGGATGAGGTTGACGTACTCGTGTATCGAAGAGTCTTTCGGAAGGGTATTGTCGTCAGATACGGGGTCGACTTGATTTTCGAGAAGTTCAAGGTACCCGCCTGGTGCAATGTTGCTAAGGCCAAGGCCAGTCAGTCGTCCGATTCGTGAAGTGAGCGGATATAGTTAAAAAAAAAAATGACAGACTCGTAGCATTTTTTGAGGTATTCTTTCCAATTTGCAACGCTGGCGTTCATAAAGCGGCTGTGGATGTAGTTGAATGGTTCCGAGTACGTCCACTCTTCTTCGATATCGTCTATCTCGAACCTCACATTGGGAGGCACACTTGACTCATTTAGATCAGTTCCGACGAAACTGGATGAGTTACTCGCTTGATACGCAAATCTGACTTACAATTCCTGCTGAGGAGCAGAGAGATCGATGCCCAGAATCTGGAAACGTAATGATAGTATGTTAGAAGCGCGGATCGTCATGTCAAGCAAGTTCAGGGGCTGCAGAGGAGAAGGGCTGCAAAGCTACCTCAGATTCGGGATGCAAGTCTCCGAAATCAACGGCCCAGACCCCGGTCCCAGTCCCGACATCGAGAACGCGGCCCACTTTAGAGTCCGGCTTGCAGGGAGGGGCGAGGCCGAGTTTGCCATCGAGAGTGTAGATGAAGATCTCATGTTGTTGATCTATTCTTCGAAATCAGGGAATCGGTCAATCAGATTATATGCTGCCTCCAGTGCGAGCGCATCAGGAAAGCGACGCATACCTAATCTGTCACTCTCTCTTGCGTCGTTGGGAAAGATGTATTCTGCGTTTAGTCTTAGTTATTCAGACCCCGTACATGTTTTGACTCTTGAAACAGAGTGAGATGCATCGTACTGCCGTCCTTGTATCGATGATAGGTTCTGCCATTCTCGATGCGGTAGTCGAGGATAGATGCGGTGATGCTTGTGCTCGAGGACGCGATGCTCTGATGGTATGTCAGAGACAGTACAACACCATGCCACCGCACAGAGCTGATGGTAACAGGTTAAAGAATACAGGTTGGCCTACCTCGAGATCCGACACATCGTGTTCAGAAGCCTAGTACGAAGAGAGAAAGGTGAGTATCGAGCTCGCAAATTTTTGTTAGCCACTAATAGTTTGTAGGACAGAATACAGACCTCATCTCCTGGCACGATCACAACCTCGTGGGTGATCTCAGCCATATTTGGTAGCGTACGACTGCTTATGAGCTGATTCGTGTTGCTCGAGCCTCAGTCGATGCCTGGTATCTTCGACTAGGTTTCAATACAACTCTTCACAACAGAGTCGAGATCTGGCTCACATCAGTGTAATATGATCAAATAAGTCGAACGATAGAACGAGGAGAAGCGCCCCTTTTACCTTCGAATATACGGGCAATGAACCCCTCTTCCAAGACGGACGGATGAAACCACATACCCGCGATACCAACCAACATGCATATACGTGTCAACGGCTCGGTTACCTTTTCTGCTCATTTGCAAGGATTCAACTGTGGAGATATTTCCAGAATTGCTTTTATTGCAGGAGACCTGCGATCAAGTCGTGCTTTCTCAGAAAGCCGTGGACTTTGCAGATTGGTTATGCTTTACATCTCAACAGTCGCTCAAATTCGTAAGATCTGCTACAACGTGCTTTGGCTTCATTATATATTTCTCTGCAAGTAGTCCTGCAGCTTGTCAAATGGATGAGAACACTAAAGACCAACGCCAAACTTTCCCTTCCTCACCGGGCCCAACGTATCAGAAGCCCACACATTCCACATAATCTCATCTACAAGGGCGTCACACCATTTTTCTATTCCTCCCAAAAATGCTCTCTTACACCATCGCAGTCACTCTCCTGACAGTTCTCCTAGCGCCTTCGCCGCTAACCATAATAAGACCCTCCATCTCCAACGTCCGCATCGTCTCGTTGAAGTCGCTCTGCTCAATCGGCATGCTAGCCGACTCGCTGAGCCTCCGTGCAACCTCGGCCCACTTGACGGTCTGTCCATTGCTGGTCAGCTCGTCGAGTAGGTGGAGCACGGCGTTCTTGATCTCCTCCTTCTTGCGGCGATCGGCAGCGCTCGTGCCCTCCGTCAGGAGACTCATGTCGATGCGACCCTGGGAGTCGGTGGCAGCAGTCTTCAAGGCAGAGCGAATGAGGCGGGCGGCTTCCATGACGTCCTCGCGAACAACTGTTGTAGAAAGACGCGTCTTGGCGTGAGCCTCAGACAGACGAATCATGGACTCAAGTTGACGAGTAGTAGCAGTGATACGCTTCTCCGCAGCGCGGACATCCTGGCCGAGCTTGCGCATCTCAAGGTATTGGTTGACCAACTCTTGAGCGGCATCTTGGGCGATGGTAGGCTGTATTTGCGAGCGAGCGTAGGAGATGTAGGTGGTGAGGAACTCAACAGGCTGGATACAGGTCAGAAACTGTTGAAACGATGGGAGCTAACAACGGGTACTTACGAGAATATCATCCTTCTGCTGGGCAGACTCCGGGTTATCTTCCAGGTACAAGGAAAGCAGATGGCGAGCAAGACGAGCATCGCTCTTCTCATCTGCGCGATCGAGAATGAGGTAGACCAAATCGAAACGAGAGAGCAGAGTGGGAGGCAGGTCGATGTTCTGAGGTACGGGCAGGTCAGGGTTGTAACGACTGCCAATCGGGTTGGCAGAAGCCAGAATACTCGTTCGGGCGTTCAAGGTGGTGATGATGCCGGCCTTGGCAACGGATACCGTCTGTTGTTCCATCACTTCGTGGAGAACAGAACGAGTTGATTCCGACATCTTGTCAAACTCGTCGATGCAGCAAACACCGCCGTCAGATAAGACCAGGGCACCAGACTCAAGAACAAGCTGGCGAGTCTCGGGATCTCTAGTGACGTACGCAGTGAGACCAACAGCCGAGGAGCCCTTTCCGCTGGTGTACACACCGCGAGGAGCAATCTTGTGCACGTAGGAGAGAATCTGGGACTTGGACGTCGAAGGGTCACCGCAGAGCAAGACGTTGATATCGCCTCTGTATCTGGGGCTGCCACCCTTGGTGAAAGTCTTGTTGGTGCCACCGAATAGTTGCAGCAAAATTCCCTTCTTCACGTCGTCCATCTCGTAGATAGATGGGGCGAGTGAGCGAGAAAGAAGATCGTAGATGTCTGGCCTGGCAGCGGTCTCCTTAATCTTCTCTTCCTCCTCTGGGCTGATCTTCTTGGTTTCTTCCATGTTGGGGTCGTTGCCAGACTCTTCTTCTTCACCTTCAAGGCCGAGGGTCGAAGTGTCGACTCCCATCCTCTTCTTGTCCACCTTTTGAACATGCAACACATCGACATATGTTTTGTAGATACTCTTGATGGTTCTTTGGCGAGGATTCACACGCACAGGGTTGACGCGGAAAATACCCGTAAGCTCAACACGGTCACCAGCTTTGCAGAAGTCCACCAACTCGTTGTACACACAAACCGAGACTGAGTGGGGCGTCTGTCCGGCAGGAACCGCATCGGGGGTCTCCTGAAGCTTGATCACCTGCTTGTCGTCGAAGACACAACGGTTGTGGATAATCTGCATGGAGTTCTTGGATGCGCAGCGAGTACGCGGGCACTCAGTAGGCTCGCGGATTTTGCCTCTATCGAGACCAACGTTGACCGAGTGATTGCAAACACTGCAACGGAAGAACGCATCCTTCATGTCTGGGATGACTGGCGTGGTGCGGATGACAAGACCCTTGATGGTGATGAGTCTGTCCATATCTGAGGGGTTCAGGTCTCGAAGGTTGGTCGTCTTGTCCAGTCCGAAAGGCCGGACCATGTAAAGCAAGCCAGAAACCTCGTCTTCCTTGGAAGGGAGGTCCATAGTAGGTCGCGGTGTCGGGGCATCAGAGCCAGCATGGTCTGAGCTCGGGAAGGCAATCTCGGAGCTGGGTGCAGTGTTGCTGCGCCTAGCCGCATCGCCAGCACTGCTCTGAGAGGCACGTTGTCTTTGGTCTTCAGCTCTTGCCAGCTCTACCATCATGTCGCTCACTGACTGATCCATGATGGGGACGATTTCTTGCGGGTAGGCTTGGAGGTGGTACCAGAGCTTGCGTGTCGGGGGGTAGGTGTTCAGATCGGCGACGTTGAGATGGAGCCTGGCGGTACCGAGAAGAAGCATGTTTTCCAAAGCCTCCCAGTAGGGCTTGGACTCGGCGTCAGGGGCATTCTGAACCTCTGCTTCGGTCCAGCCCTCCCTGTACAGCTGGTATTTCCGTGTGAAGTGCCTGAGGAAATCTTTGAAGGCTGCGAAGGTGTCGTCGACTGAAACCGTGGTACCCCAAATGGCACTCTCTCCTTGCCCACCAAGACGATCTGCCTCTGACGTGTTTGGGTCTGGGTTGCTGAATGAAAGTGCATCGGAGCCCGGGGCGTCTGTGGTTACTCTGCCTTGAGGATCCAAGACAATGCGGCGGCGGGGTGTTCTGATGCCTTCTGAGTTGATGTCACCTCTGCGGGAGCGAGATGCTCTATCAGAGACAAAAAGGCCACTGCTTTCGCTGCGCAAGTCTGACTGAGGTGCCCGCATCGGTCCCGGGCTGGAGCTGGCTTCGTATCGGATTGGTGACGATTCTGGGCATACAAGTCAATACTTTGCACGCACATACACCAATGAAGTGCTGACCTCTCATCATACCGCTCGCACGCGGTGTCCTATCTCCATCACCGGTGGATTGGGTGTCAATGTCTTGACGCAGCGGTGAGCTGGGAGCAGGCCCAGCGGCGGTGCTCTGGCTGTTGCTCATGTTGCGCAAAGGAGACGAAACATCGCCATTGGCAGGTGCATTGCGACGACCATTGGCAGACTGTGCCGGAGAGGATTCATAGAACAGAGGGCTGGATGCAAGCTGGGACCGGCGGGTTGTACGAGGGGTCTCTGCAGGGCGTTGTTGCGCCTCTTCGTCTGCCGGCGCGGGAGTGCTGCGATCAGCGTCCGGGTTGTTTCTCGTAGAACGGCGGGGAGTTCCACCGGCCGTCGAGCTTCTCGTCGACCTTTTCGAAGGCGAAGACATTTTGTTGTTTTTGACGTTCGTAGTCTTGCGGTTGTTGGTCGAACGGGGGGGAAGTGGGATGCGGGATGCGACTGAAAGAATATGTGCGTTGCTGGGGAGAGGGGAGGTGTGGAGAGGCGTCGTTCAGGAGCAACTAAAAGGTGGGCTGCATTGCAATCTCGAAAAAGCACTTTACGCGCTCACCCAGTCTGAACGCGTCCCGAAAAGGAGTTTCGCGTTTTCCACTTTACGCGCTGTGGAAGCACTGGCCTGTGCGTTCCATCTACCGCCCATGTCGCTGGGGCCACCTTTCTGATGGGGGCTCAAGGCTTGGTGGATTCCCACATCCCTGCTATCCGGCCATCGGCGAAACCACCCACCGACTTGCACCGATTCTGGGATGCTGAGGTGGTCAATTGCATCCCGCCAGAGCTCCCTACCAGGCACCGTTGACTAAAGTGACATTACCCAGCAACCCACCAACAAGCGCAATCCGGCGCAACAACACCCTAAATAACCGTCAAGATGGCTCCTGGAATGTCCCTTTTCTCCGTCAACGCGATCCTGATCCTCAGCATTGAGGACGGATCGCGGTTATTCTCCAAGTACTACAGCGCACCCCACCAAGGCACACAGAAGGACGGTATGCGCTGGCTTTCCCCCCTCCGACGCAGAGCTCTGGAGCTCCATGACTGACGTGACCGATCCACGATAGGCCAGACGAACCCATACCCTGATGTCAAGTCGCAAAAAGCCTTTGAGAAGGGTCTCCTGGAGAAGACGGCCAAGCAGACCGGCGATATCATCCTCTACGACAACCGGATCGTTCTGTACAAGATGGAGTCGGACGTTATGATGTACGTTGTCGGAGGCGTTGACGAGAACGAGGTTCTTCTTTACAACGTTATTCTGGCCCTGAGAGATTCCCTGCACCTCCTCTTCAAGTAAGCCATCCCCCTTTGTGTTTCCTGGGAGCTGCAGGTAGCTGGTGGTTCTAACAGCTCTATTAGGCAATCTGTCGACAAGCGCACAATCGTCGAGAACTACGACCTCGTCTCCCTCGCTATCGACGAGATCGTTGACGACGGCATCATCCTCGAGACCGACCCCACCATTATCGTCCAAAGAGTCAGCAAGGCGCCGGCGCAAGACGTTGACCTCCGCCGCATCGACCTCAGTGAACAAGGTGTCAACAACCTGGCCCAGCTGGGTAAGTCGAAACTGGCGGACTGGCTGCGGCAAGGTTTGTAAGGGGTCGTTCATGGTGTAAGGGAGAGAGAGGATGGAGATATAAACCAGGGATGGTTGTGCAAATGGGAGTTTTATGGTGGCTTCTAAAGGGAACGCATCATTAAAAGTATAGTCCCTCGAAAGGGGGACGTCATGACGAATGCCTCGAATTTATGCTTGATTCTATTTTTTGTCCAAGAAACCCATCTATGCTCGGATTTCGGAGGCCGCCTTGCGGAGCCTGTTCATTACCGCCTCTGCAATGTCATTTCTGTCGTCGATGCCGTCCACGAAGATGACGCTGGCACCTCTTCTATCCAGATCCCTCAGAGCCGAGAAAAGCCCCTGAGCAATCCCCTTAATGTCGTCGCCCAGATCTATGTCGAGGATCGTCGCCATGGGCTTGTCCTCTGCGTCCTGAAGCTCGCCCTCCTGCACCTCGTACGCCGCTTCGTCCCTCGCATTCGCCGCCGTAGCCCCGTCAACATGGACCTTGGAGACTTGCAACGCGCCATGGTGCAGACCACCCGCAATCTTCCACCGCCTCGTGCGAATGATACCAATCTTGAGCGGACCCAGCCCGGCGCCATTCGTCGTCGTCACGTCGCCATTCTGCTGGATCAGCGCCTTCTGCAGGTCCTCGGCAATGATACCCTCAGCACCAGCCTCGCAAGCCCACTCGTACAACACAACCTTTGCCTTGGGGCTGTAATGCTTATACTTCATCCCCGGCGCCCGCGGCGTCGCCTTGCCCATCTCGCTCTCGTCCTTATACGCCTTGACGACGCCCTCCCAGCCGGGACAAGCCCGCAGCTCCTCCATGCCCACGCCGCCGGGCCTCAGCACGACGGGCGGGTCGCACAGGCCGTCAACGACGGTGCTCTCCACGCCGACCTGGCACGCCCCGCCGTCCAGGATGAGCTCGATGCGCCCTTCCAGGTCGTGCAAGACGTGCTGCGCCGTCGTGGGCGACGGTTTCGTGGACGCATTGGCCGAGGGCGCGGCCAGGGGCACGCCGGCGAGCTTGATGAGCGTCAGCGCCAGCGGCGAGGACGGCATCCGGACGCCAAAGCTGGCCAAGCCCGCCGTGACTTCGGGCGCGAGCTTGCTCGGTTCCGGATTCCTCAGCAAGATCGTCAGGGGTCCGGGCCAGAACTTTTCAATGAGCGGCTTGTAGATTTCCGGGATCGGGTCCTTTGCTGCGTCACCGTTTGTCTGCTTCTCGGACCGCAGCAGGCTCCGCAACATGTCCAGATCGCAGACGTGCGATATCAGAGGGTTGTCTGATGGCCGACCCTTGGCTGAGTAGATGCCCTTGACGGCGCCGCTTCTCGTGGCGTCGGCCCCGAGCCCGTAGACGGTTTCGGTTGGAAATGCCACGGGCGTGTCCTTGCTGCGCAGATATTCTGCGGCATCTCGTAGGGCGGCTAATGATGCGCCAGAGGCTGAGTTGGCGATTTCCCAGCTGCTTAACCTCTCAGGTCCCTCTGCATCTCTGAAATCCCCTAGACCTTGGGCCTCGACTTTTGCTACTTGGGTCTCCATTGTGATTTTGTCGTTGTGTTGTGATGAAATCAGTCGCCGGTAGTTGTGGCTAAAAGTCGTAATCTGACGACTTATACGGCGTATGAGGGACGGTGCAAAAAGATACGTGCGTTGAGTTTGCATAAAATCCAAGGGCGGGAAGAAAATAAAGTTGACGGAAGAGGGTCTGCTAAGATGGCTTTCTCCGATATCACAAGAAGAATCTAGATCGTCGTCATATGAGATTAATTGGGTATCAACAAAGGGTCTTCATGCAGATCAAGTGGATGAGAGGAACGGGATGGTCAAAGTTGAGTCATATGTGGAAAAAAATTCTCTGGATGAGGCTAAATGATTGAAGTGTGTGTGGCCGTTGGGCCTGCGCTTTAGCGGCGATATTTCCGAGTTTAGGGAACCGGTGGTCGGGTCTTGCCCGTCAGTAGCAGTGACATCTGCCGCTGAGGTCACTTCTGCCGATCGGCTTTCAGTGGGGCCAGTGATGTGATTATGGTGGGGGTTGAGTCTGCTTCAGGCACTCGCCACGTGCAGACTAGCCGCGGCCGACTTCGAGAAATTCCATGTAAGAAGTTTAAGGTACCTAGAATACTCTGTAACAGCTTCGGCTTGGAAGTTGTGGTTATGACCTCCTTTTGCCTGCTATTTAGAGGTATTTTGCAGGCTGCATGCGCCGAAGAGTGATCGGGAGATTTGGTGTCCTTCACTTCCCTTTTTACTCTCAAAATGTCATTTGTGTAACATAGTATAGTTGTATCAGCTAGTTACGAAATCGACTTTGGGAGTAGACCATGAGGTAGTTCGAGCATCCTTGCTAACCTTTGATCACAGCAATTGTGTCCAGTCAGCGTCCTCGATTCTCCCATTTTCCGTTCCTATATGATGGCCGCATCGATGTGGGACTCTGTCTACCACGGAATACAACCTCCAAATTATCGTCTGGCTAACCGGAATAAGCCCCGCTGCTAATTGCGCAGACTTGACGCAAGCACGCAAGAAGATATGCAGCCCTTCATCTCCTACACGGCGTTTTTCGCGGTAAACAAGACGTGAGCCTGCGTTCTCCTTGAGCAGCCCCAGCCCAAGTCCAGACCGGACGAGTAACTTGCATAGTCGTCGCGGCAAGATAGGCATATGCCGTGGGACGCAGCGTGATGTCTGTACCTGTCCTAGACCAAGCCTTTCTGTTGCTAGCACCAGGGCCAAATTCGTGCGCGCTTGAACACAGACATGGTCGCCTCATACCATCGCCTGACTTTCTTCCGTCCATCGTATATAGGCCACTAGCCGGTACTGAGGCTGTGTGTTTCTCTTTTGCAACTTGACGGAAACCATCAGACAAGCTCAGCGTTCCCGTCATCGACAACGGGTTTTGCGCTAGACCATCTCAAAATCAAGATGTCACCGGTCTCCGCTAGCACGGAGCCGTCCGCGTCCGTTCCCTTTCCTTCCACTTCTGTATCTCGTAGCATACGAATAAAGACTGCGGTATCGAGATCTGGCCCGTCGATCATGCTAATGTTGCCAGCGGTATCGTTGAGGTTCTGCAGGTTTGGCGGGAAGGAGGAAAGGAAGGACGAAAGATAGTGATTATGCAGGAGTGCCTGGTGACGAGTCGCGTATGCCAGTTCTGTTTCGGAAAGACGAGCGCGGAGGGCCGGAGACGAGAGGTAGTGGAGAGCATGTTTATCGATCTACAGGATCAGAGCAGACAGTTAGCCACGTTCGGTGCCAATGAACATGCGCCGAATTCGGTTGGAGAGCAGCGAAGATTTGGGTACCTTTGCGATACGAGCACGAAGGAAGCTTCTGACGAGGAACTTGAAGCGCTCAAGCTCCGTCTGAATGACGATGAGAGCGAAGTTGGTCTTGGGGTCCATGTCACCCGTCATGTCTTCGACCTTTTCGATCTGGTGCTTGATGCGATCGTTGACGCGCTCAAAGAGACCGCCGGTAGGCCATCTGACGCACCGCATGTCAGCACGACAAAAAATTGAGACTCAATTATTCGGAAAACGCCGAGAGGCAGGGGGTCACACACTCTAGAAGTTCTGGGGCGGTTCGCTCTGCCACCCAAGCGCGCGTCAGGGCCTGTAAGTCGCGTGTCTCGGAGGGAATAGAGTACGAGACTGGGTCGACCTCGCGTAGGATATCGTCAATGTCCATTGTATGTGACTTCTATAAGTGTGTGGGCTGGAACGGGTGCTATAACATGGCGAGATCACATTCGGCGGCGCGGTGTTGGTGACGCGAGTTCGAGGTCGAAACTGGAACGCGGGATTCTTGGGGGAGAGAGAATCGCGGGGTGCTAATTGACTTCCATGGTGGGGTCCTCCTGGAGGTGGAGCCACAGAGCTAGGCGCAGGGGGCTCGGATAAGAGGGTACGCGTGGATGCAGTGACGAGAAGCCAGGGTCAAGGTATCTTTCTATCTAGTTGCTCCTGTCATTCTCATCACCTTTCGTACACAGCTGCTTTCTGACCGACATCTATATTCTTAGAGACCAGGAATACTGTTCATCTGCCTCTAAATTGCTTGCAGATAATTCTATTTGGTGATCTTGAGACGATTAGTTTGGTGGTTGCTTTGCAGCTGCCGTGTTGCCGATTACATGAACGCCCCAACGGACAACGCTCACTTCCTATTGTTACCATGACGAGTAACATGGGAGCTTCGTGCCGAGGCTCCCAGCCGGGGAGCTTACGGATCTGACACTCTTCCGAGTATTTCAAGACGCCAATGCCACCCCCGCAATCCCTCGATCTCCCCAAGTTCATCTCTAGAGTTGTTGAGATAATACGATACACGACTGTCAATGAGAATACAATTACAATTTTACCGCGACGGACACTGTCTATAATATCTAAACAGATTTTCTAGATTTCTTTTAAATCTTTACGAGCCCTTCCCTTCTCACAATGGCAGACTCAGGCGATGGCGATGAACGGACCCCTTACTCGGCCTACGCCGTCAGCATCTATCAAAACGGCATTATGGCAGGCCAATTGCCAATCGTAACGACGGATCCCAACGGCCTACAGGCCCAGGCCAAGAAGGCCATGGGCCCAGAGTCCTTCAACTACGTCTTCGGAGGCGCTGGCGAGCTATCGACTATGGACGCGAACCGTCTAGCCTTTCGCCAGTGGAAGATTGTGCCTCGCTTCCTGAGACCTAGCAATCCTCGGGATTTGAGAACAGAGTTATTTGGCGTGACTTATGGTACGTTGCGGATGCCAACCCAATTTTGAAATGAGACATTGCTCTAAGACAACAGCTTAGAGTCTCCCCTTTTGATGGCCCCTATCGGGGTTCAGAGCATCTTCCATGAGGACAAGGAGACGGGTCTGGCAGCCGCCTGCGCCGAGTTGCAAGTGCCGTACACGTTAAGCACGGCGGCGACCTCGACCATTGAGGAGGTCGCCAAAGTTTGTGGCGACCAGCACCGCTGGTTCCAGTTATACTGGCCCATGGATGATGACATTACGGGGTCGATTCTCAGACGCGCCAGGGCCAACGGGTACAAGGTCCTCGTCGTGACTCTCGACACCGTGACTTTGGCTTGGCGGCCGGCCGATCTCGACCAGGCATATCTGCCCTTCATCACAGGTACGGGCAACTCGGTCGGCTTCAGCGATCCCGTCTTCCGCAAGAAGTTTTCCGAGCAGAACGACGGCGACCAGGTAGAGGATAACATCATTAGCGCCTCACGGTACTGGATCAGTCAGGCCTTCCCCGGCGATCACCATTCTTGGAAGGATCTGGCGCTCTTGAAGAAGAACTGGGACGGGCCCATCGTTCTTAAGGGCGTGCTGAGCGTCGAGGACGCCAAGCTTGCCGTCGAGCACGGCATGTCGGGCATCATCGTCAGTAACCACGGCGGCCGACAGCTCGACGGCGGGGTCGCCTCGCTCGAGGTGCTCCCGGAGATTGTTGAAGCCGTGGGCGACAAGCTCACGGTTATGTTCGATTCCGGGATCCGAACTGGGGCGGACATTGTCAAGGCGATCGCTCTGGGGGCTAAGGCCGTCTTCGTTGGCAGACCCGCCATCTATGGCCTGGGCATTGCGGGTAAAGAGGGCGCGAAGGCTGTCATTGCTGGGCTGCTTGCTGATCTGGACTTGACAATGGGACTCTCCGGCTTCAAGAGTCTCTCCGAGCTCAAGCCTTCCATCCTTCGGCAGGTTCGGTACGGTGGGGACATGAAAGCCAACCTGTAGTATTACCGGTTGTGTTCGCCCTCGAGATGTAGGGTCTAGCAGGACGGCAAGCCGTTGTGCCGAGAATTCTGTGTTGTCGCTTTCGCAATGAAGCTGAAGGAATACAAGCTTATTTTTCTTTTCGGAAAATAGTGTCGATCGTAGCCCCATTCCCTTGGTCTCATCACACCTTCTCCGCGGGCCTTATTGAGATTTGACCCAGCGTGGAGTCGTGGACTAACAAGCAATAAGCATATTGCGGGCCATGTTTTCCCCCGCACCCTAGGTACCAGTCCCGGAATGCTCGCCATCCGGGCGTGCTTGCAGCTCGGGAACGAGGAGAGCCACCGAGCTAACGTTCGGCTCCTGTCGACTGTCTTGGGCCGAGACAGGCCAAGACTATCAGATCGCAAGTGCCAATGTCCAGCGCGTCAAAACATGCCATTGGGGTCTTTGCTATTCATTCCTCACGTGGTTTGGAATCCTTCTCGCTGCAATTCGACCAACCCAGGCCTTTCTCTACCTAGCGAGAAGCCCTTCCTCTCAGCGCGCTAAGATCAAATGCAGCCGGGCTGGACTAACACTGAGCTGTTCTTCGCAAGTCAATTACAGTCGATTGTTGGGCCTTCCGGGTATCCCACCTCACAGCCATGGCAAGGCTGCTGCTGGTGCCCGCCTGCAAAAGAGTTCACAGGCTTTTGCCGCACTGTTCCTCTTCCATGACGAGATCATCATCTCCTTCTGGGGAATGTTCGTGATCTTCCGAGGTGCTACCACGGGCTAGCGCGCATTCGTTCCAGTTTATCCTTTCCAATAGCTCCATGGGAAATGGCCCATCCGAGGGAGCGGGATTTAGAGTGCAGTAAGCATATTCTTGCGGGAAGCCGGTTTGTCTCTGAGTAATCTCGTTGCAAAAGAGTCTCATCACAAGGCGTCATGTTGTTGACAAGATGGGGTGATCATTTGGAGGTATCGGATATATAAGACGGCAGCAGGGCGGGCGATGTAAGAGAGATGAAGGAAGAAGCCACAGTAGATACAACCATCTCACCAACAGTCCTTCCTTACCAAAACTAACCAACCCTTTCTCGTGAATCTATTATACATAAGCACATAATCACTCAGTACCCCTCCTACTATCTCCATCTAATACAGTCCCATCACAATGCGTACCTCATCCATCATCCTCGCGGCCGCGTCCGCCGCCTCCGTCCTGGGCGCTCCCCTCGAGAAGAAGGCCAACTACGACCCCCTCCCCGGTGGTGATATCACCATCTTGAAGTTAGTCACAGGAGGACCAAGTTGTGTATCCAGATCTAACAAAGGTTTGATAGCTATGCTCTTACCCTCGAGTACCTCGAGCGCAAGTTCTACGAGGAGGGCTTGAAGAACTACACCGAGGCCGACTTCTGCAAGTACGCCGGTGAGGTCGGCGAGAAGTTCTACAAGAACCTCAAGACCATCTACGAGGACGAGAAGGTAAGGCTCCATCTCTAACACACTACACAACACCCAAGAGGGTAGTCCCTAAACCAAAAACCCCCGTCGACTTGGAACGCTGGCCATAACCACCCCCAAACTAACAATCCTCCCCAAAACACCAGACCCACGTCGACTTCCTCAAGGGTGCCCTCGGCACCTCTGCCATCCCCGAGCCTACCTTTGATTTCCCCGTCGACGACGCCGACTCCTTCCTCGCCCTCGCCTCCGTCCTCGAGGGCGTCGGCGTGTCCGCCTACCTCGGCGCCGCCGCCGTCATCGCAGACAAGACCTACGTCCCCGTCGCCGGCTCCATCCTGACCGTCGAGGCCCGCCACTCCTCCTACATCCGCGCCGCCCTCCGCCAGAAGCCCTTCCCCACCCCCTTCGACACCCCTCTCGACTTCAACCAGGTCTACTCCCTCGCCGCCCAGTTCGTCACCGGCTTCGCGCCCGGCACGCCCGCCCTGCCCTTCAAGGCCTTCCCCAAGTTGACCGTCTCCCCCACGCCCAGCTCCCACGGCGCTCTGTTCGAGGGTGCTTACAAGGCTGCTGTTGATGCGCAGACTGTCCCCGCCGGAGCTACCGTTTACGCTGTCTTCTACTCTGGACTCGACACCTACTACGCCGAGGTTGCCGTCAGCGGTAACGACGTAAGTGCCAGCCTTTCTGACACTGTCTCTAAGTGTATGAATTTTGTGCTAACCATGTCTTCCTGCAGTACATCGTCGAGCAGCTCCCCGAGGGTCCCGCTGGCCAGGTGTACTGCGTTCTCAGCACCGCTAACGGCAACAGCACCAAGGTCTCTGACGAGAACACTGTTGCCGGTGTCGCCATCCTCGAGATCGAGGAGGCCGACTGGTAAACAAATTACTGTCCTTGTACCCAAAAAATTGGTTCGTGACAAAATGGTTGCATGAAGCAGTCTAGAGCACCATTGATGAATACCTGATATCGGATACGGCTTTTATTATTATCTTAAATCTTCTTTGTACATATTGGAAAATTAGCTCGAACTGCAGGAACCTCTCTGATAATTAATGCAATATTGTAACTCAACTTGTCTCTGGAGCCTATGTTTTGATATGGAGTGATAAAACCACGTGTCAGGCATGACGGAGAATCTCTAGCAAAATTGGTGGTCCTGTCCATGCTGTGGAGGTCGTGAGTTGACTTCATAATTATGAGTGATAGTAAAGTGTACCCAAGGTAGAAATGGTACAAATGTCAATCGGACTAGATCGTTTCCCCCAAACTTACCCAAAAGTTGGAAACCTGTCCATACCCAGAGACTGTCACAAAAAGAAGAAGGCACACCCTCGTACCTCCTTCCCCCAACAGTAAACTTCAGCTCACCTGACCCCTGACCTTCCCGTCACTTGGACAGACACCCCTATGGTAGGTATGTAACCCGTCCCAACCTCGTTTTCCGTCACCAACACCGCAGCGCCCGTCTAGGTCGGCGAGGTCAGGTCAAGCTGTGTGCGAGGTGGTCGAGTGATGAAGTTAAAACAAATACTTCCATGAAGTCAGAGTTCGGGTCGACTGAGGGGCGTGAGATATATGGTCAGTTACCCCCCCCCCCCCCCTTTCTTCTTCCCTTTCCTTTCACTCCTTCTACTGATTGCTGGGTATTTGAAATTTACTCTTTAGTGGCAGAGGTGTTGATGGATGCATTCGGAATGAAGATTCTCCTTCCGAGACTCATATTTTTTTACTGATTCTACAGCGTTTGCTACCCGTGATAGGAAGGCCTCTCTTGGGCAAGCTACAAGTACGTGTTTTATCACCAGCCAATTACGCATGCGACCCAATCATCAAGTTGCACGTACACAGCCAACCGTCTGACGAATCCTCCTCGGCAAACCTGACTTTTGCTTCTACATTTGGATTCGCTTATATATGGTCTCTATCTGACTCACTTACATCACCTCATCTCACCACCGAGCAGTCAGACCACGATATTCCTCCCCTAATTCATCCCAGAAACCCCGTTCTTGAACTTCTCAAAAATAGAGAGATCAATCCCAGCAGCCATGGCCTCATACCCGGCCGGGTTCAAATGCAAATGATCTCCCGTATCATACTCGGCCCTCAACTTCTCCGGCGCCGCGGGGTCCCTCACAATCGCGTCAAAGTCAATCACGGCATCGTACCGCCCGCTGCTCCGAATCCACTCATTCATCCTCTGCCGCGCCGCCTCCCTCGTCGGGTCAGAGTACGGCTGCCCGTCGCCCGTGAGCGGCGTGATGGTCGCACCAAACACCGCGATGCCGAACCGGTGAAGCCGCGTGACCATCTGGTCGTACGCCGCCACGAGCCGGTCGCCCACGGCCTCCTGCGCGGCGGTGGTGTTGGTCGCGGTGCCAATGTCGTTGACGCCGATGAAGACGATGGCGTACTTGATACCCGACTGCGCGATGACGTCCCTGTCGATGCGGCCTAGACCGTTGGGACCCAGGCCGTCGGCCAGGACTCGGTTGCCGCCCGCGGCCTCGTTGACGATGGCGATGGCGCTGGTGGATGACTCGTTTTGCATGCGCGCGAGGAGGCGGTCGGGCCAGCGGTTGTTCGCGTTGGTCGTCGAGCCGCGCCCGTCGCTAATGGAGTCGCCCACGATGGCGACGGCTGAGGCGCCCTTGGGAAGCCAACCCTCGAGGGCGCTGATGAGGTACCAGTGATCCGTCGTCGTCGCGGTGGCGTTGCCAGCGGTGGTAGCGAGGTCCTGGTCCGCGACGTGGTTCCCGCTCTTGAGGAAGGACGTGGTGCGGCTGCCCGGGTGGCCGGTGATGCTGTTGGTCGTCTGGCCGTCGGCGAGATAAATCGTGATGGAGACGATGGACTGCGCCTCGACGGCGAGGTCGATCGGATCCGAGAAGACGACGGCGCCGTTGGGCACGACGAAGCCGCCGCTGCCCGAGAAGGTGACGACTAGGAGGGAGTCGGCGTCGACGCCGCTCGTGCCGGCTGTGTTGTTCGCCGTCCGGGCGATGGTTACGGCCGTGATGGGGAGGTCTGAGCCGCCAAAGGCGTTGCTGATTTGCAGGCGGAGAGTCGAGGTCGCGAGAGAGACTTTGACGGTTTGGCGGAGGGTCGCGTCGTGGAAGACTCGGCCTGTCTCGTTCTGGGCGGGAGAATTAGGGGGGCGCTCCTGAGAAAAGCCATTGCGCTTTGAGGACGAGGAGAAAGAAAACTCACAAATGGCGCTGAGGGTAAGTTAGCCGGCTCGACCAGCTGAGGCATTGTTCCCCAGACGGTGACCCATTCCCTCTCATCTCCTCGCGCAGGATGCTGAGGGCGTGCTTCTGCCAGAGGGGAGAGGAAGAGCAAGGCGGCGAAGGCCGTCTTGAGGGAGGCGATCATCATCGTGGTGAGCTACAGAGAAACGAGTGCTGGCTGCCAGATCCACTGCTCCTAGGCCCGAATCAAAAAGGGGGCCATCGTGAGCTTTATAAAGGGTACTCGAACACGGAATTCGGTGCTTTCATTAAGTCGCCTGCCCCTCAATATGACATGGTTCTCCAATTGGGAATTTCCATTGCAACGTTGGCTATGTGGGCATCCGGCAACGCGGAACCTGATGAACGCTGGATAATGGCAAGAAATGGGTTCAACCCGGTTGAAGTTCAGGCTAAATTGAAAATGCCGTGGGGAAAATTGGGGATCAGAGTTGAAAGTGGGTGCTGCGGGAGATGAGACTGAGCAGTTCGTCCCATGCGATGCGACGCCGTCTCTCCACGTCCCGCACTGGAGCCGAGTCCGCTGTCTTCCCCGCATGGGTACACTCCATCGGTACTGCCATGGCCTGGGGAAGATCTTGGGGTCGGTGACGACCTGGGGAGGTGGGGAGGGGTTTAGGTTAATGAGACTTTGGTCACGGGAGATAATGCAACGATGACGAGGATGGGAGCGTAGATCAATGATTGGCATTCCAATTGTACACCCAATGTGCATCTGTGTACAAGAAGAGGGGCGAGCGGCTCAAGTCCTCCAGAAAAAACGACCGTGGTTCATCCAAACAATTCCGACGTCAAATCGACCAAACGCTAAACGAACAAGTAGCGAGCGACATTGAACAACATCCATCGACCAAAGATTCAATCATCAAAGAGAAGTGCCGAGCCATGTTGATGGCGAAAGAGAGAAGGAACCAAAGTAAAGCCAAGATCGACCGTTTGCCATCTCTTCCATTGCCCCGACTTCCTCAAGGCCTCGGCATGGCACGAGGATAGGGGAGAACGGAAGGGAATCTGAAAATGCAAGGTAGTTGGCAAGCCGTAACGGACAAGAAGGAAAGCTGAACAGACCAACACACTAGATGTCCAAGTGAAGTGCCGCGGGGGCAGGACCGGCAGCAACATCGGCCCAGTCACCGGCGCAAGTGATGAAAGCTTCGGAAGAATGGTTGGCCATGCCATACTCGTTCTCAAAGCTATCTGTAGCTCTGCTCACACGCGAGTGCGAGATGTGGACCTTCATGCTGTCTTTGGACGAGCTGTCCTTGATGTCGAAGCCACCAGGGCACGGCTGACCCCAAAGCCACTGATAGGTGCTTATGTTCCCAAGGGGTAACTGCGTATCAAGGAGGTTCATGTTGTCCATGGTCAAGGCGGAACCAGGGACGATTGGGGCTGTAGCCATCGCTATAGTAGCGAGCGAGTTGAGGACAGTGTCTTCAGAGCCGGTTGTCTCCGAGGAAGTCCTGGAGGCAGTGACCTCGTGATGAGAGATCATGTCGAAGCCCCCATCGACTTCAACATCCGAGGTGTATGTTGGTTCGGAGCCTGACATGTTGCGGGCCACTCGACGGTCAGCGATGGAGGAGGAAGGCTCGTTGGAGACCTTGTACTGCGGACTACGATGTTCTGAGTAGTTGCCCACAGCAGGATGGCGCAGAGTGGTGTTATGGGACTCGGGATGTGAGTGCTTGGTGTCTTCTTGGTGTGCCATCATGATGATATTGGGAAGGGCGAAGAGGAAGAGAGATGTCGAGTGTGTATGAGCTCAGCGATCAAGCGACGTAAGCTGGTGGTGGGTGGACCGAACGACACTGTTACAGAGACGACGTCAGACTTTGTCAAGTGGCCAAGGGCAGAAGACAAGCGTTGCTCACCACAGGTCCGGCGGGACTGGAATAGGCCCTGAAATGGCACAGCAGAGAAGAGGACAAGAGAAGTGATGATGTTCGACTGGTCAGTGTCCAGCGACGAGAAGGGCCTTTCGCTACTTTCGTTCTCAGAAGTAGCGTGCCGTCCGTTTTTCCAGGATAGCAGAGGACAAGATCTCTTGCAACTGAAGTCCAAGAACAAGAAGATAGGTTACAAAGTTGGTGTACAAACTGATTTGTTATATTGGGGAAGGAACGGGAGAAGGGTAGGAAAGTTGGTGGGCGAAGTGAGAGAGATTTATACCAGAAAGCGTCTGACTGGTGACTGGGGATGGTTAGTTGTGACCCGTCGGGCTTTGGGTGGTGTGGACGTCGATGGACGGAGAGAACGAATCGGCCAGTCTTTTCCCTCCTTTTTTTCCCCATTCCCTTTTTTTTTTTCTCTCTCTTACCCCCCCTCGGACCCTTCAGTCACTCATCTCAGGTACATCGATCCCAGCGCCACTTAGCTGCGCCGACGGTGCAGCTCGCTGCATGATGCTGCTGCAGCGGCATGTAGGCGTGGAAGCCGGGTAGGGTGAGGAAGCGAGGTGAATGGGAGCTTGACGGGGGATTTCTTTAGGTTACCTTAGACGAGTAAACATTTGGAGTTGGGGGCGGCTGGACCTCCCAGCAACCAAGAAGACTGGGAAGGGTGGTAGGAAGTGGTAGGGTGGGAGGAGAGGAGGAGGAAGAGGATCGGAGTCGGACTGATGCACTGCAATGGGAGGTGTGGGGTAGCCTACTGCTGTGAGGTACTTTTTGAATCAAAACTACCTTATCCGTACCGTCTGAAGAAACAGCGTAAGGTACGGCTATACTTGGAAACTTCGGACTTTTTCTTTCCCTCTTTTTTGGCAACTTACTCCCCCAGTCTTTCTCGATTTGCGTGGGTTGTCACCTGACGTCCATCAATTGCGTACTGAGGTACTGCATGCTATATGCGCCTACCTAATTTTCTCCCCGGGCAAAGTAGAAAAAACGTATCTGTGCATGTTACTGGACTCAAAGGAAGTCAAATTTGGCCTCAGGCTTGGGCTACCGCTGGCGCCATGGCGTTATTGCTGCGCATGCCAATGCCATCCCAAGTCTACCTTACGCAACACCTGCTCTGACACATTGAACTTGTCTCCTCCTTCTACCTTACCCTGTTCATGAGCTTTTTGCTCGCCTCGTTTTTCGCATTTGGCTAGTAGCCCGAGAACAGTACCTCAATATCTACACCAGCTCTTGTTTTCGCGCTTTGACGCCCGCATTTTCGGAGCAGATACATGTTCATGTTTGTCGTCGCGTTCTAGCTTCTTTCGAGACCGACCATTGAGTTACCCCGCGTAGTTGCTGGGACTGGGCTCGTCGTGAGACATGACAGATGACATCCCTGGCCGCCGTCAACATCAAACCTCGACATGGTTCTTGCTCTCGCGGTCCAGAATCACAATGGACCATCTGAGCGATGCAAAACGGGAAACCCAACGAACCGTTGTCAACCCGTCCGCCCTGTTCTCGAATCCGGCTTAGACGCAAGCCACACGATGTGCAAGTATACCTACGGACACGGATACCTACTCTCTTACACAAACGTCTTCAACGCCTCTTGAGTCTTTCACGGGAATCAATGCCAAGCCCCGCCAGCTCGCTGCTGGTGATTTATCCCGAGGCGATGTCGCAAGCAACCTGGCTTGCCTGGAAACAAGCATAATGTGCCTCCCCCACCTTGAACTAATAATGCTTTGCAGCGCACTGCCCACGCTGGGTCTGCTACCACTGGTCAATTGGCTTGCACCATCTCGCCGCAGTGGCCATGTGCTCTCGAAAGATCGTCAAAATGACGGTCTTGTAGCTAAGCTTTCTCACCGAAGAGATGAGCCATGCCTCCCATGCGGAAGGAAATCGGACAACATCAAGAGCATCCCGTCCTTTTGGTCACTCACAAGCCAGTCCCGAGCATGGCACCATCAACTTTTCGGTGCAAGGGACGCGCGAATCGATACGTTCCCTTTCGACAATCTCCCGCCGCTGTGTCACACAGCCCGCCGGCCATCTGCGACATGATTGCACACGACGTTGCCCTACAGCCTGTCGTTTGGACCATTATCCAATTCCATCTTCAAATCACATAGGCACGCACGCCATTACCTTCCGCCGGCTTCAAGGCCAGATAGGAGCTCCCCGGTCCAATCACTCGCTCTCAACGAGTACAAGATTACCGAGCAAGATCGTAACGGCATTGCCTAAGCTTGTTGGTGTGGCGCGGTTACTCGCGGCCTGGGATTCCCCAGATGCCAGCAGCGTCATTGGATCGACACCGAAACTCTGTTTAGCGAAGCAGTGACATCTTTGTTCCGCGCGGAATCTGACCCTAAGGTGCTCTTGGGTGCGTGCCGGCGGCCAGCCAGCCGATTTAGGACCTTTCATGTCCCGCGACGACTTATCAGGCCATCCGAGTAACCTATCTTCGTCGGAACTTAGGCTGTGACTCAACTCTGCACCTGGCTCAGATTTCTTGGCGCTCTGCCATCTGATGTCTTGCAGTCTGGCTGTCACCGCACAGGGCCCGACGTCGGGCATGGACTCCGATCAGCATCCTGCCAACATACTGGTCCTGCATTGCATCAGCAGCAGTGCCAGCACACACAATGGCAACCTTTCAGCTGTCTTTGATGGATGTACCTCTGAAGAGACAAGGTCCGTCGACGTCACGACACTAAACCCGAGCGCCAGACGTTTGCGCCGGCCTGTATCAGCAGTATCCGGGCAGCCAACCATTGTGCTGAATATTTCCCCCGTTCCCCGCAGTCGGTCTTGCCGGCAGCGTGCCTATGGGGAGCAGGACCGGTGCAGGAAGAGCATGCAAGCTTACACACCACGAACCACACGAAAAGCCAGGCTATATCAGTCTGCTATATGCACAATAGCACCCAAGGCCCAAGGGAGTATTGTTGAGTAAACAGGAGCCCCCGAGAGAAGCACGGGTCCATCGCCGGCCGCTACAGGAAAGAGATCTTCGAGGTGCCCCTTCTCACATGACGGCAAAGAGGCCGGGCAGCACCGAACGGCAGCTTTGAGACGCCGAGCCACAATTCTCGGGCGCGAGTCCTGGATTCTGTCCCGTTTAGCGATTTGTAAAGCAGGACACATGCAGGACTCCTGAGGGAGTCCTACACGTTGCAACACTGTATTTGGCGTTTGGGCGACCACCTTGTCGGCTTGTCCAGCTGCTCTCAAAGTGACGCCTCCAGAGACGGGGCAACGTGTCTGACCCGGCCCCTTGAATTCGATATGCTTTCAAGCAGCCCGGAATACTTCCCCGAACTCCTTGGCATGCAACGATAACCACGGCGGCATGAGGGTTGAGGAACGTCGATCGTCAACCACCAACCAGCCCCCTGCGAAGAGCCAACGCCCTGCTCGAGAAGGAGGAGGTCCACGCACTATCTGCGTTCCTGTGACCTCTGCGCGAAATATTTTCATATCCTTGCTGCCTGTCTCGAGAGCTGTGGTGCCGATTCATCCAGAGAAAACGGCGCCAAGAACGTTAGGATCCCCGAATCTGTTACTACTGCCCATCGCCGCCAGCCCTGCCACCAATCCTAGCGTTGGTTTTCATGTGCCCCATCCACGACCTTCGAGAAGACTTCTAGCGTGCCGGTCTCTTCTGCGCCGGACCCTTGCCGGCCGGGGCCCGCCCAAGACATGCAGCAGGCTGTCACTTACTTCCTCCTTCACTGGCCATCCTGCCACCCCTTTATCCCAATTGCTCACGCTCTCGTACCTGTATCTGCTTGCTGACCCTATGGTGTGTGGCCGCGGCATGCATGACGACTTGTACGGGGAACCTTCGCCTAGCCATCCGGACCATTGGCAAGGCTCACAAGCGTCCAAGGGGGACAACTGCGACTCTGATGAGGGATAAACGAGCATGCAAACACCTGCATGGCGAGGGCGCGCGGCAAGGCGTTCACGGTCCCGCTCCCTGCTCATGCTTGTTGCTTTTTCATGTAGGTTCATCAGGTGCACACCCGTCGGTCTCCAGATTTGGCATCATGTAGTTAGGGTATGGATATGGCAACAAGAAAAAAAAAGGCTCTCGTGAATTTGGGTCATCAGACTCGTCACTAGACGCGTCTCTTCGTCATACAAAGCTATGAACACCTATCGCTCCTCCCCTCATCCCGGCCGAGCTGAACCTCCTGCGTCTCCTACACCTTGCGGCGCCCACCTCCGACGTCTGACCGACAGCCCAAAGAGGCAAGCTTCGAGAACATCTTGCCCTCGATCACTACCGATGCGCATTCCGCATGCCCTCGACAACACCGTATCGTTTGTCGAAGCTTGCACGTCCGCCCCACCACGGCCAACCAGAACATGCTTGTATCTGTACATAAGCCCGCCCCCAACTGCAAAACGCCTTGCGCAGAGAGGGTAAGCTTGCGTGCGTCTTGTCTCAACGTGGGCGTTGCATGCTCCAGGATCATATCGGATTATTCAAATCGTAGCTGTAGCCCCCTTGTCATTTCCTGTGACCAGCCGCGATCCACACTCTGCCTGCGGGCGACGCTGTCAATATGCGGCCCCGAGACTGCTAGCTCTCCGTTCCTTGCTATTATTGTCCATCGATGCCGCCGCCGCCGTTGAGCCCTTTCTCCTGAGCCCGCCCGCCTTCAACCTTCGAACGGTTTGATAGGACCTATCTAGCTCGTTTTCAACCGCGCAACGGATGCGAAGCGCGGCAACGGCAGGCCACACGCTCCGCTCCCCTCTCGATATCCAATAGTCCAGCGTTTCTCTAGTCGGCGTCTCGAGCAGG